GTTGTTTTACGCCACACTCAGCAATATTTCAGGTTTATGGCGGCAGATGGTATATAATCGAATCTAGGCCAGGCAATCCAGTGACCACTAGCATGAACATCGATACGGTGACTTGTGTGTCTTGGAGCCTGACCACCTGATTCCGTTACTCACCTCAAACGACAAACATGGGTTGCTGAGGACCCATTCTGACCCGGATCTTCACGGGTACGTTACAGAAGGTACTTAATGCTTTCACCTCGTTGAGATCGTACATGGCACTCGGTATTAACATGATGAAACAGAACTGGATCGCTCAGAGTCAGGAAAGTGTCTTACTGGGTGTTAATGCTAAACTAAGACCGTTACAATCTCTACATGAGTGGAACGGTTTTAGCTTACGCCATTTCGTCACACCTCACTCTTCCTACCCCTTGGACTTGTGAAGATCCGGGTTAGAATTGGTCTTCAGCAACCCATGCTTGTCGTAAGAGGCGACAAACGGTCAGGCTTGCTGACTTGGTTGACACATGTTATCGTATCCCAACTGAATAGATTGGTGATCACTGGATTGCCTGGTCCAGACTCGATTATTTACTGACCGCCGCAGTATAGCTGGAATATTGCTGTGTGCGACAATCAAACAATTAAACAAATCAAACCTCTTGGACGTATTAGTTCACAGAGAAACAATTATGTACTTCATGCAGTCGGAACGTGTGTGATCAGGCACATGTCAGCAGGTGTATTAAATAAGTATTGATGACAAATGTAAAATTTCATGGTGGTATAAAGACCACGCGTTTGGTCAGTGACGTCAGGACATTTTGGGGCGGTGGGGGGTAGCCTAATGGTTAAAGTGTTGGCTCGTCACGCCGAAGACCCGGGTTCGAATCCCCACATGGGCACAATGTGTGAAGCCCATTTCTGGTGTCCCCCGCCGTGATGTTGCTGGAATATTGCTAAAAGCGGCGTAAAAAACCAAACTCAGTCAGTCAGTCAGTCAGGACATTTTAAACAGGCCTTCTATTTCTCATTACGTATTTAAACAACATCTCTTTAAACTCTGTAAATCTCAATCAAAACATATCACTTAATCTCCTAGATCTCTGTACATCTCAATCTGTAATTCCATCTCACTGGCCTCCTGTACATACTATATATTTTGCTCGTAGCCATACTCTGTCATCACCCGATGAGGGGCACGAAGGCGCCCAGACACGTCGTGTTGTAAATATTAAACAAGTTGTAAATCCATACCATTGGTTACATTGTTATGTATTTAAACAATACAAGTGAATATCGAGCCTCACGGGTACAGGTCAACAGGCCCACTAGTTATAGAAGGTCCACAAACACCCCAGTCAAAAGGTCTCATGCAAACGCATGAATACAAATAGAAAAGTAGTGTTAGTTGCTATTTACTGTCTATGATTACATTTATTCCAGGGGTGGTGGGGTAGCCTAGTTGTTAAAGCGTCTGCTCGTCACGCCGAAGACCCGGGTTTGATTCCCCACATGGGTACTATGTGTGAAGCCCATTTCAAGAAAAAAACGCACATGTGAAACTGTTGGAAAGTTATCTAATCGCTACTTCTATGCTATAGGCTACATACATTGGTAACCACATGCGAGCCATAAACCAAGTTCAGCCTGTCAAGTGAAACTGCAGTGTTAGTAAATATTTACTTAGTGATACACAGAAAGGAAAATACGGTTATATGCAGCGGAATATCACTGATAACAGAAGTAGTACAGACTAATATTCTTGTTCGAGGCATAGTAATCCCAGATCCGATGAGCCATGCAGGTTTGTGGAGGTTTGATCTTGGCCTGTAATATTACGCCAGGTTCATTCCGGCCTCAGGGGTGTCGTCATCTGTAAGATCACCGTGTGCACAGTGGTCGTGTAACTGGTTGACGCTGTCGTACAGGACTGCGCCGGATGATTCACGGTGCATATTGACATAGGCGTCGTCATCGATCAAACAGCCTCTGTCACAAGTCACAACAAAATCGTTTAGAGCGTCTGCTGAATACTTATCTCCTAAACAGTGGTTACAGGAAACTACGCGAGAATATACCACCCAACATTTGCTAAAGACATGCATAGTGGAAGGTGTGGCCCTTAGCTAGACTAACAACTAGTCTCTGAAATGAACATATTTAACTGAAAAAAGTTCATAGTAAAAAAATATAATGAAAAGGACATCGAATGCACATATAGTCTATACCTCCTGGTTCAAACAGTGCTATTATCTGGGCGTTGGCTTGAGAAAAATATACACCAGAAAATATTCTTTTCCTACAACATTAATAGTATTAGATCACGATGATCTACATTACTGGAGCAACCTGTAGTATTTGGGCAGGAGAACAACCACACTGATTTTATCTGTGACCTTGGTCTAGGTAAAACACGATCACCCATGTACATATAATCTGAGTACCGAATATACTGAAGCTCACCTTTATTAATGCCATAAAACGTGGAGAGAATGTTACCACAATCGAATATGTCCTAAACTTTTGTCCAAGACTTGAGTTAAAAACGTTGAATTATCGTTTGTATTTTTACGAGTTTTTACTGTTTTCTCACTTGCATAATAGTATATTAAACATTCCTCCAGGAAAGAATAATTTTCACTTGCCATGGACATGCAGCAAATGCCATGGGAATGTGATAGGGAAGAATATCAGTTCATTGGTAACGGACGGATGATCCATAAGCTCACTTTGACCAGAGACCATATATAGAGGATATAATATGAGTGCCCATGTCATACTATGTTTACGACACGAGTGCCTTAATGTTGGTATTTCCCGAACGAGAGCGAGGGATATGCCGATAGTTAGGCACGAGTGTCGTAAACATAGTATGATATGGGCACTCATATAATATTCTGTTTATTACCGAAGTCGTCAAATTGAGGACAATAAACCCAAATCTACTTTCAAACACAGGCTGGCTACCAGCCGTCGCCGCATGTAGAACGCAACTGCATAGAAGGAACGTGACGTCATAGCCTTGTTCATGACGCCACCATGACAAAGTGATATTTTGCCCTAGGGCATCGTATGAAAAATATGAACCCCGATATGTTCGCCCTCGTAGGTAATAAAATAGATTATTATATGGTCTCTGCTTTGACCATGGTAAGGTGAGCAGGATCGGTTTGATTGCCGGTATGTACAGGGCAGTGTTGACTGATCCGCGAGATTATACGATTAGCGTCGAGAAAGAGAGATCGCATTACACTTCAGAATACGCCAAGACCGTCAACACTGTATATAGCGATTAGCGAAACCCCTTCCATCCAGACAGTATCGTTCACAGAGAACTAGCCCGATCTAACAGATCAGCCTTGACTGGTCCCTACTGCATGCATGACACGTTTCCATCCATAACGGGGCATAATTATATATGGAAGCAGATATGTGATATATACCTGTTCCATCAAATGAGACAAGTGTTTGCCACTGATATGGCAATGTCCCCCGCCGCTAAAGAATGGAATATCTATATTTACTACTTTTTATTTTTCGGTCACATACAAGATGCCTGAAATGACTGGTGTCTGCATAATCACCCGATGTAGGCTGTCAACATACTTGAAAACATTGGGTGCAATGTTTTATGAGATATCGCCTTTAAAAAGCGGTCAAAGTATTGTGGTGACCTCGAAGATAAGGTCAAGGTCACCCAAATAAACTGGTGTCTGTGTAATACCCCAATGTAAACTGTCACCAAATTTAGAGACATTGGGTACAACAGTCCATGAGATATCACGTTAACAAGAGTTAAAAGTGTGAAAGTGTCATGGTGACCTTGAACATAAGGTCAAGGTCACCCAAAATCAACTGGTGTCTGCATAATCCCCTATTGTATGCTGTCACCAAATTTGAAGACACTAGGTACAACAGTCCATGAGATGCCGTGTTAAGAAGAGTTTGAAAAGTGTTCAAAGTGTTGTGGTGACCTTGAAAATAAGGTCAAGGTCACCTAAATACACTGGTGTCTGTGAAATCCCCCAATGTAGGCTGTCACCAAATTTGAAGACATTGGGTACAACAGTCCATGAAATATCGCGTTAACAAGAGTTAAAAGCGTGCAAAGTGTCATGGTGACCTTGAAGATAAGGTCAAGGTCACCAAAATCAACTGGTGTCTGCGTAATCCCCCAATGTAGGCTGTCATCAAATTTGAAGACATTGGGTACAACATTTCATGAGATATCTCGTTAACAAGACTTTGAAAAGTGGTCAAAGTGTCGTGGTGACCTTGAAAATAAGGTCAAGGTCACCCAAATCGACTGGTGTCTGCATAATCTCCCAATGTAGGGTGTCACCAAATTTGAAGACATTGGGTACAACAGTTCATCAGATATCACGTTAACAAGAATCGGGATATAATATAATCCCGTTATACGCACTCGGATTTGATAATTGGAGGCTTCCATGCAAGGAGAAGTGAATAGCTTTGGTATACGCCGGATTTGTTGTGTTTATTAGTTGAAACTTATAAACACACTTGCACTTACAATAATGGATGGCTTGATCCTAATTATTCTCGCCAAATAATATCAAAATAACGTTGAGAAAACGCCTGCTTTAAGAAACATTATATGTATGCAGCCTGTATAAATACTGCTGCAAAATTGTATCGGGAGCACCAACACCATAATGTTGACATGTCGTATCTGCCTGTGGAAGTAAACACAAACCTTCAACGTGATGTGAACGAACACTGACGGACAACAAAATATATTTCTAATCACCATGAATTGCGTTTTAAGTGTAGACTTCCATCTGATATTGATTATTGTGTTGACAGCGATATCCCTAGCCATTGACACGAATATTTTGCTGTTTCATCTTGACGGCCTGGTTTGATCTATCAATGTTTCGTCCACACCAGACAGTGCTCGTAAATGACTTTCACGCATTACTGACTGCGTAGCGCCCGGTGTTGTTTGTTTTCATTAGGAACACGTGGTTATCTATTTATATCCAATAAGTCACGTGGAAGCAAGATGGCGACGCACAGGTGATTGTAGAAGGACCTGGATAGACGTACTTCTAAACATGAGATTTCTTGTGAGAGGATTAGTTGCAATGGGGTGATAACGAGATGACTTCGGTGAAAGTTGCTGTCCGGGTCCGCCCCGTCAACCAGCGGTAAGCATTTATCGGGGTTCTACTTCAGCGTCGCCTGATGTGGGATTTCAGCCCGCACATCATCGATACTCTTTCGCGTCATGTTTACTGAGTTAAAAACTTTGCCCTTGGCGTTGATAATACAGTGCATGTGTTACGTATTATCTAACGGTGCACATATGATATCCTTAAATTATCACATTTATATGTCGCGTGCCGTACACGCCTCCATGAGTTATTTGTATCCAGTGACCTGCTTCACTGACACACAATGCAGTCAAGTGTCAACTGCTTGACGAGTTGCTAACACCGCGTATTTCCTCGTACAACACTTTCATACCTTATGTTTGATCATTGCTGTACGTTATAATAACAACCCAGTCTTTGCTTTGTTTATGATCGTTTATGACGTTATTATTTACTATCGTATAATCAACAGTTAATAAACACGTTATCAAACATTGTTGCATCTATGTGTAATTATCACCTCGATGATGTCATGCTTGTCGCATGTGGAGAGATGTTACTTTGTTAAACGCTAAGTTAAGTTCAGCAAAAATATATTGGAATCTTAAACAAATGCTACAAACTTTGTTCATAACTTAACTATTAATGTGTTCTGGAGACCTCGATTAATATATTTTAATGAATGGCTGTCAATATTTATTCTATATTAACCTGTTACATTGTGATTGAATGGAAATATTGTTTCAAGCCACATTTCTCGTTCATTCACAATGGAAATAACAATGACTCAATAACTCTTGCCTACAGTGTAAAAAATAGGATTTTTACAATTAATTACAATCAACAGTTTCTTATCATGCTCATATGTCATCTCATGCAGTATGGCAGTGTATCAAACTGTTTGTTGAATGAATGAATCGTACTTCCCTAACTTACTATGATATAGTGCACAATAAAGTGTTGAGAATTCCAAGATGACCTTCATTCTTAAACACATGCTGAAAGCTACAATGTTATGAATACTTGTTCACTTGAGAATCTCCTGGTTTTAATAGTAAAAGTTTGGTGGCAAGTCATAGTAACATGTCTGAGATCAAACAGCTGATTCGACAGCCACCTGAACAGGTATTAGTGAACTACCTTGAAGCCCATCAAACAGATTGGTCACATATGTGAGAATATCACACCTGTTCCCATAGCAGTGTGTGTTGCCTTGCTAAATAGTCTCATGATTGTGAAGTTTTGAAGACATTATCATGGGAAACAATCAATGTGCGAAATAGTTTCCAAATTTTGCTAGCCAGTGGGGCTAGCTGTGCCTGAAAGTTACTAGCCTACAAAATAATTCACTAGCCGGAAATTGAACGTAGACACGGACACGATTAAGCAGCTTATTATGATGAACATTTTTGTCTGGTCATAATCTTGCATGAATTAAAACTTAACAAGCCAAAGAGAATGATATGTTTACAAACTGACCCCATGAAAATTCACCAGCCAGTTGGGTCAGTTACTGTGGAGATTTAGTGGCCTGACTGGATTTTTACTAGCCACAGGCTAGCTGGCCAGTGGCTATTTCACACACTGTATACAAAGTAGATAATTACCATGTATTTGGTTTAAACATATTTTATTCTATTCAAGAAGAAAGAAAAGGATTGGCAAACAAGCCTAAATGGCTTATATTAATGCCACTCCATAATACATGTGAAGGTTCACCTTTGTGCATAATGTTGTACATATTTATAGTGGTTATATCAAATTATCTCTGAATAATAACAATCATGGATATCAACAATTTATCTTGGTTTTGTTTCGTGGCCAGTTACCATGTATTTGCAATATGATTATTAAAAAATGTGTTTTTATGCATTTAATGCCTTGACATGTATCACTATGTTTGAGTCAAGCCTAGATTTCTTGAAGTTATGTCAGTCTTTCCTTATTCAGAAAAATGAGACCACAGGGACTTTGTACTTATAAATTACAACTGTATTTGCTGCTAATATTATACACTTGTAACAGAATAGAAAATTGATGTAACAAATGGTTCTTGGAAGGCAGCAATTATCAATCTAAAATACCAACTCTTAAGTTAATTAACAATTAGGGTTATTGTCTTGTGTTGTACTTTATTGAGATTGACACTGTTTATTCCCAAACCTGCTATTTTACCCATTCAGATGGTCATAAAAATGTGAAACCCAGGCTGGGAATTCAGTTTCAAATTACATTCTGCACAATAATATCTAGTAAAAATATCATGCCTACATAAGTTATTTGGCTGCTCCACCATCTCCACATTCATTCATTCATTCATTCATTCATTCAAGCCAAGGTTTGCTGGTGTTATTTCTATTTGCCCTACCACTCCATGTTTGATGAGGTAGAAAAATAAAACTGTGCATCTACAAACGTCTAATGAAACATATGAAAAGTAAAATTTTATAATATGGTTTAATCATTTTTTTAAGCATTTAGGCTCTAGCCACTTCAAACATAAAAGAGAGCTGTCTTTGACAGGCTAAAGTGCAAGAACTACATGATGTGTATTCTACCATAACAATAATAAACACCTTGCACTTAAAATGTGTTACAAATAATTAGGATGCATTATTTCCCTGTAAATTACAAACATACAGTACTGCTTTTTTTTCATAACCAATGGTGTCATAATACAAGTATGTGGTATAATAGGTATATTATCATTTGTGTGAAAACAATTACTAAAATAACATTAAATTATGAATTAATTTGTTATTATATAGGTATGATAAATCACTTGTACACATTATTTAGTTCAAACATTTGTACATTATTTAGTTCAAACATTTGTATCTTTGAAAAAAACTTCAAAGAAGATGAAAGGACTAACTTGTTGCATGAATCAGCTGACACCTACATCTGACCGTGTAAATTTCAGGTCATGTCACTGTAACCATAGCAACCTACTTATGTACACACATAGAAAATCCCTGACATCATGTTTATCGAATGTGTTTTAGTCACATTTTTAATCATGTTCACAGTTGCGTAATTAGACTGAGCATGATGTAGCAAACTGTTCAATGGATGCCATATCCACATATGATATACCAAAATACTCTTGGCAAATATCAGGGGCGGTGGGGTAGTCTAGTGCTTAAAGTGTTCGCTCGTCATGCCGAAGACCCAGGTTCGATTCCCCACATGCAGGGTACAGTGTGTGAAGCCATTTCTGTTGTTCCCTGCCGTGATATTGCTGGAATATTGCTAAAAACTGTGTACTACCAAACTCACTCACTCACTCACTTAACAAATATCAAGTAACAACAACAATGTTGATACTTCCCATTTTGAAGAAGTCTTGTGATGAATTCTCATTATATATCACCATCTCATTACGTCTGTCTCGCAGACCATAGAGAAAATATGTAAAGGAGTCCAACTCATCATGCTCAATGTCTGGTTGCCTCAGCTCCCCTACCACTAAGAATTGTTCTGGATTTCTCTTGGATTTTATTTCTTTCTTTTAGTAGATAATATATATATTTGTTTCAAATAAGATAACATCTCACTGTCTTGATTTACCATATACACATGCGACAAGGTACTTCACTTTACAATATGATGTGGCCTCTATCATCTTGTTGAAAGATGGGCTAGCGAAACCTTTACCAAGAAAAGAACTTGAACTACATCCAGTGTAATCCTAACTGACTCATTCAATATAAATATGTTCAGATACAACATTATGCAAATGATCGACAACAAGCTGAAGAAAGAGTGAGTAAATAAGAATTTGTTATTTCAGCTCAACCATCTCATTACAGCTGTAATTGGAGTCTTTAGCCCTTGGGGTGTGTAGTGGAGATATTTCAGAGTTTACGTCATTATGAAGCATCACATGACTGTGAGTCTGTACTCACATGAAACAGCGACAGCTGGGTGATAAATCAATATATTACCTGTTATTGGGATAGTTTATGATATGTCCATGAAGTTGTGTATACATCTAGTTGATACTGACCCGTATTCATCCATATCTTGTCTTACTTCTTACAAAATCAATACATTGTATCATTGTGTTTGTGCTAGTGAGCGTACAATGTTGATGAATGCAATGTGGTTAAATGTACTCTACCAACTACTCAGATTATTGTGTGAGAAGTCTAATGTGATTCCAAGGCCTTTTGATAGGTGTACGCAAATATTATCCTAAGTATAAATGTATATGATTGTGTGACTGTTTCAAACATCTGTCAGCAATGTTCGAACTGTCTTCATGGCAGCTTGTAAATACTTGAACAGAAGCCACTCAAATCAGTGGTTGACTGCAAAATAACAATCCACAATGTTGGGTATGATGATAACAGGACTTCAAGGTGACACGATTGATTGTTAGTCAGCTCTTGCGACAAGCCGATCATGTGGAATAACCTTTTCCTAAAGACTAATACTAGTGATAGATACACAAGGACTTATCCTTCTGTGATATAGGTCTTCAGTAACCCATGGTAATGAGACTAATAGGTTGTGGTGTACAGACACACAGACACTTTTGGTGAAATTCAGCTAATCTGCAGCTAAATTCTGATTAGTTTTCTGTGTAAAATAACTTCATTTTTTCGGGAAACAACTAGTAAATCTAGATTTTCAGTTGTCTGTTATTTGTGGTAGTGTCTATCACTGACAGTGTCTGTTGGTGAGGGTCACTGATTTAGTTGATGTATGTTATCATATCCCATCACAATGTTGATAGATGTTCATGATTTAAATCACTGGATCATCTGGTCCAGACTTCATTATTTACACACTGCCAACACATGCCTCGAAAAACTAGTCTCTCTAGATTTTCAGTTTTCTAGGATTTGGGACCTTGGCTATCCTTGACATTATGGGATTGTCAGGCTCACGGTTTGGTTGATACATGTAATTCTATCCCATTTGCACTGATGAATGCTCATGATGTCAATCACTGGATTGTCTGGTTCAGACTCTGTTACAGACAACCATCATATGGCTGGAGTATTGCTGAATGTGATGTTAAACAGCAAACACCACATAAGTCAGGATTGGGTTACCGGACATCAGCAGGACTTGAAGGTTGATTAAGTAACCCATTACACTGGGAACTGAGTTGTTTCTTCTAGTTGCATGTCATCCTCAAAAGTCTTCCAGTTACATGAAGTCATCCTGCAAATTATCAAGATGGTCAGACGACTGATATTATGGGCAATCATCCAGTCTGTTTGGTTTGATGACACAATATCATCCTAAGTTGCCATTAAGTTGCCTCATATGACCAGCCTTGGTTGTTGAGGATCTATATTGTAACCCCGAATTACAAACAACATCTCTATCCCATGGGCGGATCCAGGAATTTCGAAAGGAGGGGGTTCAGGGGGTTTGAACCCCCTGAACCCCCATTGGCTCCACCAACGCTAAAAATTTGATCTTACGTCATTTTCAAAAGGGGGGGTTCGAACACCCTGAACACACCACCAACACCACCACACACACACCCCACCCCCTGGATCCGCCAATGTATCCCCTGTAAGACTGATGGCTTCAACATCAAGTAAGGTCAAAAATGGAGCCAAGGTGTGCCATTTGTTTAAGGGGTTAATGATGCACTTGCACTCAGAAACACTGAGCCTCTGTAATGTAGTGAAAGTCAGTCATGATCAAAGCAGTCACTGGGGGTTTTCAAGGGTCTACTATTTTAAATGTGGCCTCTAAATCCCCAATACGTTCCAAGTCATGGTTGAGGTGTCACTGGCCCTGTGATTTATGTGTGTCGTGCATCACGGAACACACCCTCACAGGTGTCAGTGACCAGTGTATTTACCACATGTGACTTGTCAGCTGTACACATGCATCATACCTTACAGAATTCTTGTGGGAAGTTGTGTAACATGTTGGCTCACTGAAATGATTCATTCAGTATTAAAAGAATGTTAACACTTACATTATGGTCCTAATAAATGGGTTTTCTGACCTATAAGATGAGGTTGTTATGGTACACACAGAAACTAGGCCATCTTCAATTTTGTTTTTGACACGAGCATTGTGGAGAATGTCCCAACTAAAACTTGAAATAGGAGGCGATGGCTGAATAGGAAGCTCTTAAGATGTACTTAGTTTTAACATATAAATGAAGAAACAAGGTAGTAAATCCACCTAATGTTGTTTTCCTCCTGCAGATAATGGGTGCAGTATTGATTTTATGGCCTTCAAGGAATGTCATTAAAATTGATCACCTTCCTGCAGCCATGGCTAGTTTAATTTTTATCTTACATGCTGAAGGAAAAGGAAATGTTCCCGATAATGATCCAAATATACTGTTAACGTCCTGGCCCACTACTTCCACAATCTTTTGTTAACTTCCTAGCCGTGTGGATCATTACCAAATGTCACCTATATTCAGTTTTTGTAGGTGCACAACTTGCTTGGAGATTCATTATTAGCCTAACAGGCAACATCACCTGAAATATCTTATCACCACACAGTTTCAAACATCACCACGGTGACGACCAAGCAATTAATTATGAATTGTTCTGTCGTGAGTGTGAATCTGTAACTGAGAGTTTTTATGCCCTGCCGTGAAGTGGGAGGGGATATACTAATGGGTAATGTCTGTCTTTCCATCCATTATGTTTAGTTTGTGGGGCATGACTCTAAGATTGTTGAATATTTCTTCTCCAGATTTTGCAGCTACCAGTGTAGCCATTAAATTTTCACTTTTGCTATGTAAGATTAAATTTGTTTCTGATTTCAAAGAACATTAATTAGACATTTTCAAATGAAATTAGAGCTTGTTCTTCAAACTTTTGAATAATTGTCATTAGATATTACACAGACATCAGTCTAGCCATGAACTGGTGCTTAGTGCTATTATGGAATTTGGAAGTATTCTTTTTCTTGGTGTCCATGACAACTTTGTCTTTACTTACTTATCAATGAAGAGGTGAGGATTATTGTGGGGATTGGGGGACAGACACTGTTCACAGTATTCAAGGATTATTGTGGGGATTGGGGGACAGACACTGTTCACAGTATTCAAGGATTATTGCAGGGATTGAGGGCACACACTGTTCACAGTATTCAAGGATTATTGTTGGGATTGGGAGCCAGACACTGTTCACAGTATTCAAGGATTATTGTGGGGATTGGGGACAGACATTGTTCACAATATTCAAGGATTATGACGGGATTGGGGACAGACACTGTTCACAGTATTCAAGGATTATTGTGGGGATTGGGGACAGACATTGTTCACAATATTCAAGGATTATGACGGGATTGGGGACAGACACTGTTCACAGTATTCAAGGATTATTGAGGGGATTGGGGGACAGACACTGTTCAAAGTATTCGAGGATTATGATGGGATTGGGGACAGACACTATTCACAGTATTCAAGGATTATTGTGGGGATTGAGGGCAGACACCACTCACGGTATTCAAGGATGATTGTGGGGATTGGGGGACAGACACTGTTCACAGGATTCAAGGATTATTGTGGGGATTGGGGACAGACTCTGTTCTCAGTATTCAAGGATTTTTGCGGGGATTGGGGAACAGATTCTGTTCACAGTATTCAAGGATTATTGCAGGGATTGGGGACAGACTCTGTTCACAGTATACAAGGATTATTGTGGGGATTGGGGACAGACTCTTTTCCCAGCATTCAAGGATTATTGCAGGGATTGGGGGACAGACACTGTTCAAAGTATTCAAGGTTTATGATGGGGATTTGGAGGCAGACATTCCTCATGAACTGTTGTACCCAATATCTTCAAATTTGGTGACAGCCTACATTGGGGGATTACGCAGACACCAGTCAATTTGGGTGACCTTGACCTTATTTTCAAGGTCACAACAACACTTTGACCACTTTTCAAACTGTTGTTAACGTGATATCTCATGCACTGTAGTATCCCACATATTCAAATTTGGTGACAACCTACATAAGGGGATCACGCAGACACCAGTCGATTTGGGTGACCTTATCCTTATCTTCAAGGTCACCATGACACTTTGAACACTTCAAACTCTTGTTACGCGATATCTCATGGACTGTTGTACCCAATGTCTTCAAATTTGGTGACAGCCTACATTGGGGGATTATGCAGACACCAGTTGATTTGGGTGACCTTGACCTTATCTTCAAGGTCACCATGACACTTTGAACACTTTTCAAACTTATTTAAACGCGATATCACATAAAACATTGCACCCAGTGTTTTCAAGTATGTTGACAGCCTACATTGGTTGATTATGCAGACACCAGTCATTTCAGGCATCTTGTATGTGACCAAAAAATAAAAAGTAGTAAATATAGATATTCCATTCTTTAGCGGCGGGGGACATTGCCATATCAGTGGTAAACACTTGTTGTTGTTGAATGGGGAATGTCTCTGTCCACAATATCTTTGGATTATTATGGGGATTCCTGGGTAGATTAGGTCCCGAATACCCAAAGAATGTTGATGGGATTTGGGGGCAAACTCTGCTCATAGTATTCAAGGCTTGTTGATGGGCTTTTAGGGCAAACTCTGCTCATAGTATTCAAGCCTTTTTGTTGGGATTTGGGGGCAAACTCTGCTCATAGTATTCAAGGCTTGTTGCTGGGATTTTAGGGCAAACTCTGCTCATAGTACTCAAGCCTTGTTGTTGGAATTTGGGGGCAAACTCTGCTCACAGTATTCAAGGCTTGTTGCTGGGATTTTAGGGCAAACTCTGCTCATAGTATTCAAGCCTTGTTGTTGGGATTTGGGGGCAAACTCTGCTCCCAGTATTCAAGGCTTGTTGCTGGGATTTTAGGGCAAACTCTGCTCATAGTACTCAAGCCTTGTTGTTGGAATTTGGGGGCAAACTCTGCTCACAGTATTCAAGGCTTGTTGCTGGGATTTTAGGGCAAACTCTGCTCATAGTATTCAAGCCTTGTTGTTGGGATTTGGGGGCAAACTCTGCTCATAGTATTCAAGGCTTGTTGGGATTCAGAGACAGACTATGCCCAACAATACCAAAGGCTTGTTATTTGAAATCAGATGTTCATTAGGTCCACAGTACCCAAGGATTGTTGTAGCGATTATGGGACATGCTAGATCCAAATATGATCATGGGCATTCAGCATTTATTCCAGGGTACATTAGATCCACAGTACCCAAGACTTGTCTACAATGTGGATTCTGGATCCAGCAAAGACTCCAGCAATGCATACACAACCTGTCAGACGTTAAGACATTGTATGAGGGTTCAGGCCACCCAGCCAACATGTAAACCTGTATGGATGTTTCAGTGACCAGTGGTGTTATGGTGAGAATGTGTGTTTCAGGGAGGTGGACCTGGGGAGCAAGGTGATCATCAAGATGGACAGCACCAAGACCAGCATCACCAACCTCAAGGTGGGACATGTGGGGACTTAGCTATGCCTGTGGATACAGAAAAATCTATATTCTGAGATGAAATCCATGAATGGGACAGTAATCTACCTTTAGAATAACAATATCTTTTGAGTCTCCTTTAAACAATAAATGTTCCTCTTGTTGTCAATTAAAGAAACTCATTAACTCGTTCTAGTCCAATAGGTGGTGCTTCTTAGTTGTATAGTATTGAAGTTCTGTGTAGGTGGGTTGACTGATTTGTTCTGTTACAGATGCCAGGGTCAGTAGGAGCTGGGGACACTGGTCGGGAACAGATGAGGGTCAAGGATTTCACCTTTGACCACTCCTTCTGGTCAGCCAACCCTGAAGACAAACACTACGTCTCACAGGAGAATGTGAGCCACATATCAATGAAAACATATATCTGCATAAACACTTAGATTGAATAAGTCTTTATTTCGTACTGAAGAGGCCACAGGCCTATAGTACATATACATATATAATGGGGAATTACATAAATAAATATATTTACATTACAGTGATAAAACTTTTGTTCTATACAACATTGCAATGTGGATGAACATGGCAAGATTTTGTAATATATTTTGATTTTTACTGCTTATAAGGGTTGAGAATTTTATGATGCTTGGATGATATAGTAATATCTTTTAATGTATTTACAACGTATTGAATTATATGATGGACAGATGAGGAGAAAGTGATATTCATCTTCAATTTCATTTAAACGACAAAGTGTACATATTCTCTCTTCTCTTTTAACATTTTTATATCTGCCGCTTTCAATCAACAAATCGTGAGATGAACATCGGAATCTTGCTAGTGATCGCCTAAATTTCTTTATATTAACACATGATAAGTATACTTCATTGAATAGATCTTTTTTAAATTTTGAATAGTAAAAACATTTACTTGACAAAGATATTTTCTCACACCATGTTTGAAGATATATGTCTTTAAGTCTTATGGTGAATGACGTATGTGATTCTACATATTGTGCATTCCAAACGTTTCTGAGGCCAATAGAGAATAAGAAGTTCTTAACATGAGATGTCCAATTTCTTTGTCCATTTTCATCATACAATAACATCATATTATAACATTTTTTCGGTAACCGATATGAAGGCATATTTAACAGTTTTAACCAATATTTGACAACTTTTATGCTTGTAAACAAGTGCATTGGATATCTGCCACATTCACCGTAAACTACTGCATTAACTGTATTCAATTTAACACCAAGATATTTCTTGCATGCATACAAGTGTATTCTTTCTATTTGATGAAAGTCTGCTAATCCCCAGATTTTTGCTCCGTACGTCAAAATTGGGTTTATCTTTGCATCAAAAATCTTAAAAAAGGTTTTGTAACCAATATCTCCAAGTGTACTTATTGTCTTCATAATACCGATAAGTGCCTTTTTCACTTTGAGCGAAGCATATTTGACATGCATGTTCCAAGACAAACCATTGGTAAAATACAATCCCAAATATTTATAATAGCTAACACAGTCTAGATGTATACCCTTAAACAACCACTTTTCTTTTTTAGAAAGTTTACCTCCCTTTTTAAAGAGTATGATTTTTGTTTTCTCTCTGTTTACTGTTAATTTCCATTTATCGCAGTAATGTTCAAGTTCATTTATTTGATTTTGGAGGCCACTAACGGTGCTTGAAAACAACGCAAGGTCGTCTGCAAACAACAGAAGGAAGATTTTAACTATTTCTGGATGAAGTTGTATGCCACTTGAACAATTAGTTTCGATTTGAACAGGAAGCTCATTGATGAAAAATGAAAACAGGAATGGACTAAGTATACATCCTTGCCTTACACCAAGTTGTAATTCGAACGTTTCCGAAAATTCTTGATTATTTTGAACACATGCCTTCATGTTCTCATACCTATTAATCAAAAGTTTACTCATTTTGTTACTGAGACCATGCCATTGAAATAGAGACCAAAGCTTGTTGCGTTGGACAGAGTCAAAGGCTTTCGCAAAATCTACAAATAGGGCATATACTTTTCCTCCTTTTAAATTCAAGTATCTCTGTATTATACTTTGTAAAATAAACATGTTATCAACAGTGGTATATCCATGTCTAAATCCAGCTTGCGATTCATTTATCTTATCCATTGTATCTCCCCAGCTTACAAGTCTCTTATGAACTATAAACGTGAAAATTTTACTAAATATACTAAGTAATGTTATTCCTCTATAGTTATTTGGGTTATTTGCATATTAGATATAGAGTAACATACATTTCTCAGATGCTTACATTTGTAACATTATTCTCCCAGATGACAGGGTTTCAAGACTTAAACCTTTGTTAAATATGTCTGAACTGTGACGTTTCCACTGTTTTCAAGTGAGTATTTCCTGCTAACTGTTTGTTGTATTACCCTTGTATTGTAGGTGTACAATGCACTGGGCAGTGACATCCTGTCTTCGGCATACGAAGGCTACAATGTGTGTGTGTTTGCGTACGGTCAAACAGGATCAGGGAAGAGCTACACCATGATGGGGGATTTGGTATGTACACACCACAGCAGTACCTTTTCTATGAACCTCATGGTCCAACATCTGCCTGGAGAGCAGATTGTCTGTTGTTCGTTCCCCGACTGTGATTCTAAAAGATATTAAATAATGGCACTTGTTGTTTCCCTGCCTGGTGCTAGGCATTAAGGGGTTGAAACAAGGACCAGTCAGGTCAGAGCTGGTACACTGTGTATAAGTGGGGTATCCCTGATAAACTGCGGCGTGGGATCTTATAGGGCCAGCATCATCAATCTGGCATAATTCCAGACTGGCACAAACATATGAGCATGCATGTATTGATGAGTCAGATGTCATCATCCTGATTCTCTATCATAGCATTGCATTTTCATGATACTGTCTGATGTTCACAAGGTATGTATATTGTAGACATTTCAATGTTGGTATGGTAGGTATAGGTTTAGAAACAAATGTTTCATGTAGGATGGCAGAATTTTGTATATGTTACCTCAGGAGTCTTTTACAACATGGTGTTTATGTTTCAGGAAAATGAGGGTCTCATTCCTAGGTTCTGTCAGGTACGTTATACGTTTAGCTGTTCTCTGTGTTTATGATCCTATACACAGGATACTTGTTCCACGTTAATCTATACATGTGTATTTAATAACAATTAGACGGTGGGACAGAACTTTTGCAGATTTCTGGAAACATTAGCCAGTAAAGGAAATTCTGAGTTTCTGAGCTGTCAGTGGCAACCGATTATGAACGGTTTGTTTGGATTTATGGCCACCATGGAGTGCCAACTCTGTGATGTTTGATAGAGTTGATTGGTTGGTTGGTTTTATAGTTTTAGGGCGACGTGTCTTTGATAGAGTCATCACACCTGGATTGTCTCCCTTGCTACTCAGTGTTAGTGTGTGATCACAACTTGATTGTGTCCAGCTTACACTACTCAATGATAATGTGTCATGAGTGATCTCCCTTCCTAAACAATGACAGTGTGTCATGACATCTTGATTATCTCCCTTGTAAGACAATGACAAAAATTGAACTGGAAATATAGGATATAATTCTTTCCATACAGTGAAATGTGCAGTTCTGTTTTGGTTCATTTATGTCAGTAGTAACTACCGAACTATGACGAAACATTTAATCATGTCCAATTATTTGCAGAGTTTGTTTTCAAGGATGACAGATGAAAACACTTCCTATCGAACTGAAGTCAGGTAAAAAATCTATTCACTTGCAGTCATTACTTGTGACAATGGGTAATGTATTGACAGTCCTGAGGTGATAACCACTAAATTGTTACATTGTTACAAGTAGAGAAGATGCAACCTTCAAAACCATATTGACAGGTTGCCCAGTCAGCTAAGACAAATAAGACTTGGCTGTGCACTGCACATTCACTTTGGTCAGTCAAGAAATCCTATAATCTGAGTTAGAAATGCAGGTTCATCATAGTTGTGTTTCTGTATTTGTCAGTAACATATCCATGCCCATGGTTTTCACGTAACTGATAAACATCTGGGCCCTGCATCATTTGCGGCTTTCCTCTCAAAAGATGCTGACACACCATGGTATAACTGGAGTGAGTGAGTGAGTTGGGTTTTACGCCGCTTTTAGCAATATTCCAGCAACATCACGGCAGGGAACACCAGAAATGGGCTTTACACATTGTACCCATGTTGGGAATCAAACCTGGGTCTTCGGCGTGACGAGCGAATGCTTTAACCACTAGGCTATCCCACCGCCCCGGTATAACTGGAATAGTGTCCGTTAAAACCACTTCAATCATTTGTAAGGGCGGTGAGGTAGCCTAGTACATAAAGCATTCGCTCGTCATGCTGAAGGCCCAGGTTCGATTCCCAACATGGGTACAATGTGTGAAGCCCATTTCTGGTGTTCCCCACCGTGATGTTGCTGGAATATTGCTAAAAGCGATGTAAAACTTAACTCGCTCACTCAATCATTTGTTAATGTTCTTGGCTGAAAATTCCTGCTTCTCTTTGTTACAATAAACCTTAAAAAGTAACGATGATCAGTGTTTTGTGTTTGTCATATCCAGATTAGTCAATTTACAGAATGCAGGGCTAAAGCTCTTATGTTTATATCAAGCAGCATGCATGTTCCTGGAGGGTCCAGTTAATGAAGGTGTTGCATTTTCCTGTGCAGAGTTGTGTCCCTTAGATTGCCTGCTTTTCCTTTGGTTTTCTTCTCATGGTATAGACACACTGTGTTATAACTGAAACATTGATGTAACCAAACTTTCATCACTCATAAACAAATAGCAACATTCACTCACTCAGTATCTCATATATGCCTGCAGCTACCTAGAAATCTACAACGAGAAGGTGCGAGATCTCCTCCGTCCAAACTCAACCAATAAGCCAGTGTACAGCTTGCGAGTCCGAGAACACCCTAAAGAAGGCCCCTACGTCCAGGGTGAGTAATGCAAACACAGGTTGTTTGGTGGACCCACTGAGGAGCAGAAAAGTTACTCTGTATCCTAGGCTTTCATGGAAATATCTGAGCTAACATAATGTTATGTTTTTAGGTGTTGAATATAGTTTATTATCACATGACAGGTGTGGTCAGAGTTTTGTGTCATTGGTCTTTGATATATTGCATGTATTAGGTCCAGGCTTCATAACTTTGGCTTTGGTGAGTGTACTAAATGTCATTCATTGCCACTTAGAGTTGTTAGTTGCTCAGGTTCATTCATGTAAGTGCTGTATGACTAAAATATTGTTTAGTGTATTAACAGTTAGTCTTGATTGCGTGGTTTGATGTAGCACAGCTTTTTATGGTCATTTGTCCATGTTACCCATCATCGAAGTGTTACCTTAGTGGCCTCTCTCCACATGGTCAATGGATGTTGCTGACACTGAGCTCCAGACACTTCTTGCCTTGTGGGAATTCCAGGTTAGATTGGTAGCCAGCAAACCTGTGCTGGTTGTAAGAGACAGCTTGATGTAGCTGTGGTCAGGCATGGTGACTTGGGTGTGTCACTGTTCCCAGACAGCCTGGATTGTTGCGCACAGTCTCAAATACTCTGTTGTCTTGTCAGCCGTGCGCACAGTCTCAAATACTCGATGCTCATGCTGTTGATCACTGGATTGTCTGGTCCAGACTCGATTATTTACAGGCAACCACCATATAGGAATATTGCTGAGTCGCTGCGAAAAACTAAACTCACTCACTCACTGTTGTCTTGTCCAGGCTCTTTTATATATTGATTATTCACATAGTGGGAATATTGCTGAAAATGGCATCAAACAACAGTCACTTCCATTCTGATATTCATTTATCTACTGTTTCAGACCTATCCAAACACATAGTGAAGAAGTATGGTGATATCCACCGTCTGATGAGTAAAGGCAATATTAACAGGTGAGATAAGTACACAGTTCATGTAGGGCCATTATTTTTATATTTGTGGACCACAGATCTGCTGACCCTTTTATCTTCATGAAAGAAAAAAGAGATAATCCCATTTAACATAATATTCTTGCATGATCATTTAGAGTTATGTCCCTTGTGCTTGATGTAGTCAAAAGTAACTTGTTTTCACCAGCCTGTAAATAATTGAGTCTGGACAAGACAAACCAGTGGTTGATATTATGAAGTGTTTCCGGCCCCTTCCATTAAGCATAGACCGCTTCTTATGTTTGGCCCAACTGGTTTGACTGCTATAGCCACTTCATATGTTTGACCACTATAGCCACTTCACATGTTTGACCACTATAACCACTTCACATGTTTGACCACTATAGCCACTTCATATGTTTGACCACTATAGCCACTTCACATGTTTGACCACTATAGCCACTTCATATTGTTTGACCACTATAGCCACTTCATGTTTGACCACTATAGCCACTTCATGTTTGACCACTATAGCCACTTCACATGTTTGACCACTACAGCCACTTCACATGTTTGACCACTACAGCCACTTCAGCCACTTCTTCATGTTTGACCACTATAGCCACTTCATGTGTTTGACCACTATAGCCACTTCACTTCATGTTTGACCACTATAGCCACTTCACTATAGCCACTTCACATGTTTGACCACTATAGCCACTTCACATGTTTGACCACTATAGCCACTTCACATGTTTGACCACTATAGCCACTTCATGTTTGACCACTATAGCCACTTCACATGTTTGACCACTATAGCCACTTCATGTTTGACCACTATAGCCACTTCACATGTTTGACCACTATAGCCACTTCACATGTTTGACCACTTCTAACACTTCACATGTTTGACCACTATAGCCACTTCATGTTTGACCACTATAGCCACTTCACATGTTTGACCACTTCTCACATGCCACTTCACATGTTTGACCACTATAGCCACTTCACATGTTTGACCACTATAGCCACTTCACATGTTTGACCACTATAGCCACTTCACATGTTTGACCACTATAGCCACTTCACATGTTTGACCACTATAGCCACTTCACTATGTTTGACCACTTCCACTTCACATGTTTGACCACTACCACTTCATAGCCACTTCACATGTTTGACCACTATAGCCACTTCACATGTTTGACCACTATAGCCACTTCACATGTTTGACCACTATAGCCACTTCACATGTTTGACCACTATAGCCACTTCACATGTTTGACCACTATAGCCACTTCACATGTTTGACCACTATAGCCACTTCACATGTTTGACCACTATAGCCACTTCACATGTTTGACCACTATAGCCACTTCACATGTTTGACCACTATAGCCACTTCCACTTCACATGTTTGACCACTTCACATGTTTGACCACTATAGCCACTTCACATGTTTGACCACTATAGCCACTCTCACATGTTTGACCAGCCACTTCACATGTTTGACCACTACTAGCCACTTCACTTCACATGTTTGACCACTATAGCCACTTCACATGTTTGACCACTATAGCCACTTCACATGTTTGACCACTATAGCCACTTCACCACTATAGCCACTTGACCACTATAGCCACTTCACATGTTTGACCACTATAGCCACTTCCACTTCACATGTTTGACCACTATAGCCACTTCATATGTTTGACCACCACTTTGACCACTTCACATGTTTGACCACTATAGCCACTCACATGTTTGACCACTATAGCCACTTCACATCACATGTTTGACCACTATAGCCACTTCACTTCACATGTTTGACCACTATAGCCACTTCACATGTTTGACTTCACACATGTTTGACCACTATAGCCACTTCACATGTTTGACCACTATACTTCAGCCACTTCATGCCACCACTTCACATGTTTGACCACTATGTTTGTTTGGACCTATAGCCACTTCATGTTTGACCACTTTCACATGTTTGACCACTATAGCCACTTCACATGTTTGACCACTACTAGCCACTTCATATGTTTGACCACTATAGCCACTTCACATGTTTGACCACTTCACTTTGTTTGACCACTATAGCCACTTCACATGTTTGACCACTATTCCACTTCACCATGTTTGACCACTATAGCCACTTCACATGTTTGACCACTATAGCCACTTCATATGTTTGACCACTATCCACTTCACTATAGCCACTTCACATGACCACTATAGCCACTTCATATGTTTGACCACTATAGCCACTTCACATGTTTGACCACTATAGCCACTTCACTATAGCCACTTTCATGTTTGACCACTATAGCCACTTCATATGCCACTTCACATGTTTGACACACTATAGCCACTTCACATGTTTGACCACTATAGCCACTTCACATGTTTTTGACCACTATAGCCCACTTCACATGTTTGACCACTATAGCCACTTCACATGTTTGACCACTATAGCCACTTCACATGTTTGACCACTTCACATGTTTGACCACTTCATGTTTGACCACTTCACATGTTTGACCACTATAGCCACTTCACACATGTTTGACCACTATAGCCTTCACTTCACTTCATGTTTGACCACTATAGCCACTTCATGTTTGACCACTATAGCCACTTCACATGTTTGACCACTACTGCCACTTCACATGTTTGACCACTATAGCCACTTCACATGTTTGACCACTACTCCCACTTCACATGTTTGACCACTATAGCCACTTCACATGTTTGACCACTATAGCCACTTCACATGTTTGACCACTATAGCCACTTCATATGTTTGACTTCACTATTCACATGCCACTTCACTTCATGTTTGACCACTATAGCCACTTCACTTCATATGTTTGACCACTATAGCCACTTCATATGTTTGACCACTATAGCCACTTCATATGTTTGACCACTATAACCACTTCACATGTTTGACCACTATAGCCACTTCACATGTTTGACCACTACAGCCACTTCATGTTTGACCACTATAGCCACTTCACATGTTTGACCACTATAGCCACTTCATATGTTTGACCACTATAGCCACTTCATATGTTTGACCACTTTAGCCACTTCATATGTTTGACCACTATTCCCATTTCATAATGTTTGACCACTTCTACCACTTCATGTTTGACCACTATAGCCACTTCACATGTTTGACCACTATAGCCACTTCACATGTTTGACCACTTCTGCCACTTCACATGTTTGACCACTATTGCCACTTCATATGTTTGACCACTTCATATGTTTGACCACTACAGCAACTTCATATGTTTCACCACTATAGCCACTTCATATGTTTGACCGCTTCTACAACTTCATGTTTGACCACTATTGCCACTTCTTACGTTGAGGCTAGTGACTACATGTACATTGTCTGTCTTTCAGAACCACTGCTTCAACCAATATGAATGATGTCAGTAGTAGATCTCATGCTATCTTTACTATAGTTTTTACTCAGGTAAGATAATGATTTCATTACCATGATATACAATACTATCTCTGTTTATTACATTAGTTCATAAAATAAGTTTCAGTGATTAGGCAGTTTCAGAATACATGTAGTTGTAAAATATCATATGCACAAGGGATATGGGATAGTCATTTTAATCATTTGTAAAAGAAAGCCTTTTTACTTGTGTCCATTCTTTGAACAGATATTGTACTCCTTTACCAGAATTTTCGTTTTTGTATTTTCAAGCATTTGTTAATGTATTGATAATATATATTTTAGGCTCGGTTTGTGGATGAAATGCCAATGGAAATGCATAGTAAGATTCATCTGGTGGACTTGGCTGGCAGGTGAGTGAGTGAGTTGGGAGATGGGGTTTACAGTTACAAAGGGGGACAGAGAAGGTTTTGTCATGTAGGGGGTTGGGGGAAGGATGAGTGTTACTGTAATGATGATGGTGGAAGGTAATAGAAGGGTCTACAGTAGGGCTGGACCAATTCCATATTTACTACACAGGTTCCAAATTCCATGGGAGGTATCAAGAGTTGGGTACAAAATGTGCAATGAAGAAGCTATACACATTTAAGTAGTTCAAACAATTTTATTCATTGCATAAGCATCGTAAATCATGTTACAAAGTTATGGCTTGGTCTATAAGCAAACTGATAACTGTTAAATTGTTTACTGGTAAAGTACCTTTCTATTCATATTAATGATGATTATGTAGAAGTAACATGCTCAACAACAGATTCAGGGCACAGAACTCTTCTGGTTGTAGGGTATTGGCTCACTTAACCTCTGACGAAGACACAAGTTATCCTTCCTTTTTATGTCTGATGGGAAGATGACATTTCATCACATGTTTCTCTGTCTGCAGTGAGAGGGCAGATGCCTCAGGTGCTAAAGGTCAGAGGCTGAAGGAAGGAGCCAGTATCAACAAGTCTCTCGTCACCCTCGGCAATGTCATCTCTGTACTAGGTGAGGCTGCTTGATGTACGCTCCTTTAATCAGGGTCTCATTTTTCAAATGTTCAAATGAGGAAAAGAGAACTGTGGCCTGAAGAGACCTGTTGTGGGCTGTTTCTCCATGTTTTCCGAAGCAGGATCACTTATCTTTTGAATTCATACCTTTTTTCTTACCGGAAAAATGGAATAAAAAGAAACATGCATTATTAATATTTTTCCTTATCCTGACTCATGCTTATTGCTTGTCTCCTTCCTTTTGCGAACGTTAGTGGAACACTTGTATCTTCTATTGAAGCTCCCTTCAATAAAAACAGACGTAAAATCACTGCTCACCAAGAGTTATCCCTCTGGCCGTTTTGGCGGGAAAAGTGGTGCCACCGCTCCCACATGCTACACTCTCTCCTTCTTCGCCCTAGTGGACGGTTGGGAGAGGGCCTGTGTCTTCTATACGGCACTATATCCTTTTATTTATTAGTTATTACCCTATACATTACCTTTATAGGGGTTTAGGGAGTATCCTTCAACAATATGGTTTGAAATTTATTCGTATTTTTCACTGTTTATTCACGGTTTTGTCCGTGTTTGTTCAGTTGTTTACATTTCATGAAAACCTGTTTTCGTTGTAGGTTTAGGTTCTCTGCTGCAGACCCGCATTCATTGTGCCCTAGCTGCACAACACCATGTACTTCCAGCTCTCGCTGCAACCTTTGTCAGCATTTAACCAATATTGAATTTAATAAATATATTTTCTGCGTACTTAGGCATGCTAAAGACAAGTCCAGACGACTTTTTCAAGTCAGGGATAAGCCGGCTGAGTCCCTCGCGTGTCAACTGCTGTCAGACGACCCTCTTCTTTCCAGTGATCCGCCGGAGATGTCCTCGGAGGATGGGCGTGGGACGTTGTCCGCCACTTCGAAGAAGAGGGCTGCACCTTCGGACATCCCTTCATGGCAGACAAAGAAGAAGAAGCCGTCCTCTACGCAGAGACGGCCACACACCCCTAAGACGGCAAGCAGCTCTACGGAGACGTCTTTGCAGACAACTAGGACTTTCTCGGCCGAGATTGTCCCGATGGAGGAAAGAGGTCTCTATGATGAGCAGCCGCTCATCATCCCGGAAATACATCGCCCCAAGAAGAAGCAGGCCTCAGCAACGGTAACTTCAGCGCAGTTAACTACGCAGTCCGAGGTATCTACACTGACGACAGATGAACGATCCCTGGACCATATCGCTACCAACACAGAGAGGGCAGCTCATCTATCACCGCAGACATTCGACCAAGGGGCCTTCATGCAGCAGTTCTCACAGCAGATAATGGAGATGATGGAGAGGCGGTTCGCGCAGGAAAAAGATCAACCAGCCCTGGACACCACCCGCAGAGAGGACCCGGACCTGCACAAAGGACCCACCGCCGACGACACATCGGAGAGGCCTTCCATTGACGAGACAGATGAACAGCCTTCGCGAAGGTTTTCGGAGACAACCTCAAGGACGTCATCAACATCACACAGATCGTCAAGGGATTCGCCGAAGCAGTCACGTACCAGGAGACGCTCGCCTCCTCGCAGGTCTCAACGCAGATCGCCCTACAGACACAGCTCTACAGGCTCATCTCCACGCAGATCGCCACGCAAGTCTCCGTGCAGGTCTCCACGCAGGTCTCCACACAGGTCTCCACACAAGTCTCCACGCAAGTCTCCGCGCAGGTCTTCACACACATCAACGATCCCAGATCAGCGCCCCTGAAACAGAGGACGATGGCGGTATTATCTTCTCGGACGCAGAGATAAGATATTGGATGGCCAACGGATTGGAGTTAGCGTCACCCTCTAAGGAAGAGAATGCAGCACTCACCTGATGAAGGACGATGATTTCGACACGATCACTCTACCGCCAATTGATCCCATCTCGGAAGTTCCAGATGCAGCCTTCCGGAAGGCAACGAGATCCCAAGCGCCGAATATACCACAGTTCAATGCTAAGAAGTTCTCCCTACACAATATGGACCCCTTCATGAAGGCACAAGAGATCGATGACAACTACAAGGTCATCAACGACGCCCGGACCAAGTCTTATAAGATTGACGACAAAAAGCTGGCGCAGATAGAGACGATGTCCAGAAGGATGTTCTTCGGCCTGAACAGATCCAGGGCAGTGAATGAGACGCTCATCGCTAAGTTCAGGGACTCTACCGCAGAGGAGGACCGGATGATCTACTCTGCTCTACTCATGCAGAAGAAGGACCAGCAGTTTATGACGGACCATCTATCATCCATCTCAGCAGCGTTGACGTTGGCGAGACGACAAGGACTACTGGCATCCTGCACCTGGAGCGAATGCTTCACGAAGTCGCTGTACAGAGCCCCATGGTCGACATCATCCATCTTCGCAGGGGAGATTGACGACGTCGCCAAAGAAGTTGCCAAAGACTCCAGAGAGGTCCACATGACCATTGATACACTGGCCAATGTCATCAGGCAGACGTCCCAGCGCTACTCGGGCAAGATGAAGTTCGCAGGCATCCAGAAGGCAAGAGACAAGAAAATGAGCACCTTCAGAGGAGGGAAGGACTCTTTTCATCGCCCAGCTGGCAACTATAGAGGACGACCCGGGCGAGGCAGGGCACCCAGAGGTGCCAAGAATCAGAGACGATGAAGGAGGGGTTCGGAACGACTGGAGTCTTCCACCCCCAGCCGTTCCTGTACAACCTTCACAAGTGGGTGGACGTCTACAAAACTACTGGGAGAACTGGGGAATTCTTCAAGATCCATTTGTATCCAGCATCCTAAGAGACAGATATCGCATACAACTACAAGCAACTCTGCCGTTGACAGACGAACCTCACAAGTTCAACTTCACGACCCATCGGACAGAGAGGCTACGAGAAGCGGTCACATCTCTACTAGAGAAGGAAGCCATAGAAGTGGTGGACCAGGACCAGCTCTCACCAGGATTCTACTCCCCAGGTTTCCTAGTGCCAAAGAAAAACTCCAAAGAAAAGTTCCGACTCATCTACAACATGAGGGCCTTCAACAGAGATTATCTACGCAGACCACCAAAGTTCAGCATGATACATCTCCCACAACTCCTACACCTCGTCTGTCCGATTGACTACATGGCCAGCATAGATCTACAGGACGCCTACCTGCATATTCCTGTACATCCGGACTCAAGGAAGTACCTGAGGTTTATACTGGACGGACGACACTACCAATGGAAGGTCCTGCCATTTGGAATATCATCGGCCCCCTGGTTGTTTACAAGGGTGACGAAGCCCATAGTCACATACCTACATCATCGAGGTCTACGCAGTGCATTCTACCTAGACGACAGGATTCAAGTACATCAAGATCCCAAGCATCTCAGACTACAACTGGACTTCACCATCAGACTGCTTACACAACTTGGGTGGCTAGTGAATCTCCTCAAGTCGGACCTAGAACCTACACAGGACCTGCAGTTCCTAGGAATCTGGTTCATGACAGAACCGCATAGTGGTACCAGAGGACCGATGGCTCAAGATACAACAGACGATCTCGCAAGCTCTACTCTCTCCGTGGCCACTACAACAATGGCAGAGTCTGTTGGGTCTCCTCACGTCAGCACAAGACATGACAGCCAGAGGGAGACTACAACTACGCCCACTACAGGTCTTCGTCAATGTTCATCTAGACGACCCGGAACCCTTCGGACTCCCGGACGCACTACGCCCATATCTACTATGGTGGACCCAGAGATCGAATGTTTGTGAAGGCACCTACTTAGCAGAGCCGGAGTGCAAGACACATCTCTATGTGGACGCATCGCTCCAAGGTTGGGGAGCACATCTCGACGACGAAGTGTCAGCTGGGACGTGGACCAACGAGGAGAAAGATCTGCACATCAACATGCTGGAAATGAAAGCAGTACTAAACGCCATACTCCACTGGACTAACATTCTGGAGAATGCTCATCTGATGGTGCATACGGACAACTCCACAGTGGCGTTCTACATAAACAGGCAAGGATCAACAAGGTCGGCGAACCTCCTGGACCTCAGCTTTCAACTGTTCAGCATAACAGACAACCAGGAGCCAAGAATGTGATAGCAGACGCACTATCCCGTCCAACGCAGCCATCCCCAACAGAATGGATGCTATATCCAGAGATCTTCAAGCAGATCATACAAGAGATGGGAGCACCACTAATAGACCTCTTCGCCACAAGATTCAACAATCAACTGATAACATTCGTGATTTCCACCACCAGCTCTAATACCGAGGGTGTTGCAGAAAATCAGCCAGACGAAGGACCTACAACTGATTTTGGTCGCGCCTTACTGGCCAGCGAGAATATGGTTCCCCATTCTCATACAAGAATTAGGACAACCTCAACTGCAACTACCAGAGTGGACGAATCTACTAGTACATCCTCACACAAAGCAGGCGCACGGCAACCCAGAGGTGTTCCGGCTACACGTGTTGACTGTATCAAGGCGTGCTTGAACAAGAGAGGATATTCCACCAGGGCAGCGAAAGCAGTCACACTAGCTCTACGCAAGTCTACACGCACCTAATGCGGCGACAAGTGGCGAAGCTTCGAGACATACGCCTGCGAGGACCGGCTTTACAGCCATAAAGGCGACACACCCTCAAGTGGCGGACTACCTTTGTCACCTACGACAAACGAAGCGGTTAAAAGGGTCAACCCTCTCAACTTACCTAGCGGCATTGAGCTCAGTCATCTCCATGAGGACAGGTGCAAAACTGACGAAAGTACCAGAGTTACTGGCCTTACTACGCTCTTTTAAATTGGAGGACCAACAACAGAGATTTAAAGCTCCGGCGTGGGACCTCAACGTAGTTCTACGACATCTCACCAGTGACGTCTACGAACCATTAGAGAGGACATCCTTCGAGTTCTTGACGCAGAAGACGCTGTTCCTGATCGCCTTAGCAACAGCAGCAATGATGTCGGAAATACATGCTCTGGACTTCAAGAGAACACGATTTGATGAAAATCAAAACACCGTGCATATGGGACTGCGATGGGACTTCATCGCAAAGAATCAACTGCCAGGTCAACCGGACAGACAATTCCACGTCCCAGCGCTATCATCAGTCCTTGGATCACAGGATATGCAGGACCTATCCTTGTGCCCAGTAAGAGCATTGAAAGTCTACCTACAAAGATCCAGGACCAGGAGACGGGAATTCAAGCGTCTTTTCGTCCCGATATCGACAGTGACACAGATGGAGGTCTCCCGCACTACGATATCAATCTGGATCAGAACTGTCATACTACGGGCCTACAAAGTAGCAGGAATTGATCCTCCACGAGCCTCCAACCCACACGAAGTTAGAGCTCTGGCATCAACACTCGCTCTACATGGGAATTGCTCTATCAGGACGATAATGGAGGGCTGCTTTTGGAAATCAGACATGGTGTTTGCCAACCATTACCTGAGGGACATCGTCACCGAGGACGTTTCCGGCATTCACCATTTCGGCCCGCTGGTTGTTGCACAACAGTTGACAGTCCCTCAAAGGCGCTGAGACGAAGTCTAGCCCTTTTATCACGTGACTTGAAAAAGCCTACGCTCGGCAGAGTTCAGCTTAGAGTCTATATGCACGTCTAAGGACAGACTAGCATAAGTGATATGACCCAGTGAAATGGAGTCGCAAAATCCACATAAGATGTTAACAGAAGCCAGGACCAAAAGTTAGCAATTGTGGTCCCCCCGTCAGAGACAGCTGGAAGTACTTGGTTACAGCAGCAGCAGAGACTAGCAGTAAAATAGCAGTGCCAACAAGAAGTTCCCATAGGGGGGTATATAAGACGTAAATCACTAAATGAAATCCAGAAGTAGCTTGACCCACCACCAAATCCGACGGATTCTACAAGCAATAAGCATGAGTCAGGATAAGGAAAAATATGTAATTTTCTGAATAAAATTGATATTTTATACTTATCCTGACTCATGAGGTAAGCCCTCCCAACCTCCCCGCTAGACACTTTGGATTTCCCTGCAAATTAAAGTGTCGGGCTCAAAATTCCGAGAGAGTGAAGCATGTGGGAGCGGTGGCGCCACTTTTCCCGCCAAAACGGCCAGAGGGATAACTCTTGGTGAGTAGTGATTTTACGTCTGTTTTTATTGAAGGGAGCTTCAATAGAAGATACAAGTGTTCCACTAACGTTCGCAAAAGGAAGGAGACAAGCAAAAAGCATGAGTCAGGATAAGTATAAAATATCAATTTTATTCAGAAAATTACATTATTCATAAGCTGGGTATTTTTATTCAAGTATTCATAGTCTAATAATGGTACATGTGTAGATTTCCCTGATCTATGTGTCTATGTGTTTAACAGCTGAAATGTCTGAGAAGACAAGCAGGAGCAATAAGCCGACTTTCATCCCGTACCGAGACTCAGTGCTCACCTGGCTGCTAAAGGACAGTCTGGGAGGCAACGCCAAGACCATCATGATAGCCAGTAAGTCCAGGATGTTCATTAGGTGATTCTTATACCATGCCCAGCCTTACATCATGACCCAGACCATACCCAGTCTGCAGCAGGGGTTACTTAGACCGTACCCAGTCTGCAGCAGGGGTTACTTAGACCATACCCAGTCTGCAGCAGGGGTTACTTAGACCATACCCAGTCTGCAGCAGGGGTTACTTAGTCCGTACCCAGACTGCAGCAGGGGTTACTTAGACCATATCCAGACTGCAGAAGGTGATACTTAGACCATACCCAGACTGCAGAAGGTGATACTTAGACCATACCCAGGCTGCAGGAAGTGATAATTAGACCGTACCCAGACTGCAGAAGGTGATACTTAGACCATACCCAGACTGCAGAAGGTGATACTTAGACCATACCCAGGCTGCAGGAAGTGATAATTAGACCGTACCCAGTAGGGCTTCAACGAGTCCATTTTCTTGGACTCGAGTACTCGAGGGCTGAGACTCGACTCGGACCCGAGTACTCGAAATTAATGCCTTTCAAACAAACGATATCGTCGTATGACTAACATTTCCTATTGGTCAGAATCCGTATTTGGATGTTTACTTGCCAAATTTTATTTTTTTTCATCATACTGGTTGTACTGCTTGCTTAACGCAGTAATATACCGCACAGGCGGCATTTGGTTATTTTTCTTTTTTCACTATCAAGACACGCTCATACATTTGATTTTTTATCGTTCTCCATGTCTGTTAAGATAGTTACCTAATTATTTTAAGAAGTGAAATCCCAAATGATGTATAATAATTACTCTCATCTGCAGACTTGTAACAACTAATACCATACAGACACACCTTATGAGGAGTAAACTACTTAATCTAGGCCTTAATAAAAACATTATTAGATGGGTTAAAGACTTCAGGGTACATAGAACTCAGTATATCAGTGTCAATGGCTATCAATTTTCTTTCCTCTCAACCTCTACTGGAGCTCCACAGGACTGTATTCTTTCATCCGTACTCCTCGTTTTGTATACCAGTGACTGTTACTTGTCATTAAATGACTTGTTTACTGTGAAATTCGCAGATGACGCCACTGTTATTGGCCTAATTTCTGATTCTGAACCTTATTATCGTCAAGTCATTGACAAAACCGTAATGACAGTTTTTATCAAACCTTTTTTCAAAGTGTGTTGACCTACAATTTTCTATGTTGCTATGGGGCCTGTCTGATCGCAACAAAAACAAACTTTTCAACATTGTTAATACTGCCGACAAAATTTCGAGTATATTCCTTTTATCTATGAGCGCCAGATTGTCAAAAAGGCAACTAAAATTAGATTTGATAGTTAACATATTTTATCTCACCATTTTGAAGTACTTCTTTCTGGACGCTGCTGTCGATTACCTTCCCTCGAAACAAACAGAGCTCGACAGTCTTTCATACCATCAAGTATTCGTGAATGCAACAAATATTTTGAATTATCACCATGTGATAACAACAAGAATTATTCAGCCTCTTTACCTATGTGGTTAATTGAATTATATCATGTCAGTTTTATTGTGTAAATAGCTTTCGTTTTGTGCATGTAATTATTGTGTATATTTTTGTGAATTGTGTACATATTCATTTTGAGACAGTTTGGATGTATAAGTATTTCCTCCGGGATAATAAAGTTATATCTTATCTTAATATTAGACGTTAACGGCCGCTCATGTTCAGCACTTGGCAGACAGTCTGATCTGTCAACGTAACCCAATAATTCGAGTTATCTCCCCTTTTCGAGTCCTCGAGTCCTAGAAAATGGACTCGAGTCCAGCTAAACCCGACTCGTCCTCGAGTACTCGAGTACCCGTGGAAGCCCTAGTACCCAGGCTGCAGGAAGTGATACTTAGACCATACCCTGTCTGCAGGAAGTGATACTTAGACCACACACAGTCTGCAGGAAGTTATACTTAGACCATACCCTGTCTGCAGGAAGTGATACTTAGACCATACCCTGTCTGCAGGAAGGGATACTTTCTGATATCTGTTGCAGCTATATCACCTGCTGATGTCAATTACGGGGAAACACTGAGTACTCTTCGTTATGCAAATCGGGCCAAGGACATCATCAATCGTCCAACAATTAATGAGGATCCAAATGTGAAACTGATTAGAGAACTGCGGGAAGAAATTGCACGTTTACAAGGACTTATTGGAGGGGATGTGGTGAGTCAGCAGAACATTATGTGTATTGGCCACCAAATGTGTCAATATATCTTGATACTGATATTTCAAGGTATGGATTGAGGGGAGACAACAAGGTGAGCGATAAATCACTTCCATGTTTCCGCTGTTTTTTTAAACGCTTTCGAAGTGAACCAGTATCCTTTGAAACATGTATTGCACTAGTGTTATCTTGATTCTCCAGATTTGGTAGTTCCACGTTAACTGTATACCAAATTATAGGTAAACAAGGTAAAAATATAGCAGTTCCTGAAAGTAGTTGTATGGAAAGTAAGGTTTCAGTACAAATAAGGCCATGATTATAGCTTTATAATATGATGGGAAATGTTTGACTTGGCTGGAATGGTGACATGAAAATGTTTGGATCTATTAATGGATATGATGGTGACCGACACACACCAACTGTCCTTTGTAGACTCGAGCTGTTCCATTTTTTTACCAGTGAGGTTGTTGACAAATATTTTGTTCTGTTTTCAGAATGGGACACCATCTCCCAAAGTGCAAGAAAAACTTCACGAGAAGGAGGCTAGAGTAAGTATTAGTCATATGTTCTGGCCTTTTGTACTGCCTATACCATAATGCAGATGAAGCGGTAGCCTATTGGTTAAATCATTTGCTTGTCACAGGACACGGGGTTCGATTACCCACATTGGAACAATGTGTGAAGCCCATAATTTGTTTGAAAACCTAGCCTCTGCTTTATCACAGCAATAAATTCCTGTTTTGGCAATAATCACATTGATTTGTCCACATGCATCCTGTCAACTGCCAAGATAAGGGACATGACAGATTGCTTCAGATGACAAGCTTAAACACTAATGACCTGTCTGACTGACCTAGCTATAGACATGGATGTGTTCCTACAAGTTCAGTTTTGTCTCTAAATGGGTTGTTGCCTCAATATTACCAAGTAGCAGCATACAAATTTTTAATTATCTCACAGGTATTTCACAGAAGTGACTGGAGGTGAGGTGAGGTGAAATTGGGTTTAACGTTGTGCTTGAGAATACTTCGCTCATATGACGACGTGCATGCGTGTGTATGTGTATGTGTGGCTGCTTGTACTAGCCCAGACTGAAGCTGGTTTTATAGTGCTAGCCCACTGAGATACCATGCCGCAGTGAAGCATGAATACCCCACTCAGACACATTATACTGACTCCGAGCCGACCAATCCTTGTTGTACCCATTAATGCCGAACGCCAAGCAGGGACCAACAAGTACCATATTTTAACGTCTTTTGGTATGACGCGGTCGGGGATCGAACCCGCAACCTTCCGCTCTCCGGGAGTACGCTCTAACCACTACACCACGGAGGCGGTCTCAGAAGTGACTGGAGGCTGGGTGGGTAGCCCATTGGTTAAAGTGTTAACCGACAATACCAAAGACCAGGGTCCAGTTTGGTCATGTGGAGCCCATTTTTGTTCTCCTTTGATATGCTAGAACATTGATAAAAGTGGCATGAAACTTAACTTACTGATGTGTGAGTGAAAGATTAGGCTGAAATTTTTCACCTCAGGACAGGAAGTTCATGAATGACATAAAGGTGAACGTACAGACATGGTGTCTTTGTGTTTCCAGATCAAGATCCTCACACAGGAGTGGGCCGGGAAGTGGAAGGAGGCGGCCACCATTCTACAGGTAACTACCACCACTGACTTGATCAACTAGATCCTCTTCATGGGGATTCCAGTCCCCATTCCACAAGTTGATCTTAGTGCTACGATTTTCTTAAGGCGCTGTTTAGGTATAGGACCTATGATCATCTCAGTGCTGAGATCACTTACTTGAATCAGGATTCCCAGTCAGAAAGGTCCAAGTTCCAAGCGTTCATTGTCTGCCTAAACAAGAAATTGAATATTACAGGCCATTAACATATTAATGCTCAGCATCAGACCATTAACAGCTTGTTTTCCATTAATTGCTTGTTTGGTGTGGTTCAGACTTCAACAGTTGTGATATATAATTTGTGTACTGCTGTCTGAATCATAAAAGAATATTCTTCAGCTAGTTCAATATTATTCTAGATATTGTCTGGAATCTACAACTAGATTTCTGTGGTGAGACAGGGAACACTTCGAGTAGGCTAGAAACTGGTCCATTGTGAGAGATGAAGATATGTTGTGTCTGTATTAAATCTGTGAGAGCCATTGAAATAGCCTATCACTACTGTACTGAGGCCCAATCCACAAAGCGTTGTTTGCTCTAAGATCATTTGTAAGAATGTGAATAACAAGGACAAATGTAAGATAGGTCATACCACTACAAACACAGTGTGAATGGGGACCCTGATCTTGTGTTGAACAGGAGCAGAAGACGCTGGCACTGAGGAAGGAAGGTCTTGGAGTGGTCCTGGACTCGACACTTCCACATCTTATAGGGATTGAGGACGACATACTCAGCACTGGCATCATGCTGTACCACCTCAAGGTAGACATGTTACGTACATTTGACTCAAGCCTCCCTCTGGTGTTCTGTTTGCTTGGTCACATTAATCTGTTTTGGTTCTCTTCTTTTTGATAGGAATTATTGCATGTATTGGTACATATCTTCTTCGATGTAAGATTGGTGAAATATTGTAGGCATGAAAGTTACCACAAGTGGTTGTTAAAAATTGCCTCCCTTTGTCAGCAGGATAATCTCTCATTCAAGCTTATTGCACTTGCATATATAGTGCACACAAGTCTAATGCCTGCTTTATCGTGCTACTGTATACTGACCATGCTACAGTTTAACATGGATACCCAAGGCATACAGTGCACAGGGATCATATCAGAGATGTAAAATAAACCCCAGAGGTGGTTCTTGCCAGAAGAATATGTTAATCAGTGGTTTGTATCCCAAATTTGAGTATTCTGGTCTGCACCATACACAAATGTTTCACTAAAAGTGGTTTGGTTTCACCTTTTGTCCTACTTACCATTTTACCTTACATCACAGATGTTTTGATGTTACAGAAATACCATTCAAAGATGTGTAAAATATAGCTCCCTTTCTCTAGGAAGAGGCCTTTTATGACTTTTATGAATGATGTATTGTATTCCAGGAAGGGGTGACTACTATCGGCGCTGATGAAGCTGGGGGTGCTGTCAATGGTCCCAATCCTGATATCGGTGTGTACATACTTCTACTGCTACATACAGTGAAGCTCAGGCCTTGTTATGCTAGTTGGGAGCTTCCGTGACAGAGTCAAGACAGAAGGTCGCTCATTATTTGGCTTTTTGTCTTCTGTTTGAGTTTAAACTGCTGAACCTATTTGTGTGCTATTGTGCATTAAGAATAACCTTTTGGATGAATAGAAGTGTCCTTATAAGTAAAAGTTCTGCCTTTACAAGTGCTTCAAAGTGATCAGTCACTCAAAAGGTCTTTATAAACCTTGTTCTACCAGGGAAAAGGCTCCATCTGAGTTGTCTCCCCTGAAACAATGATATTCAGTGATAAGTGCCCAGGGCAGTTAGGAAAGGGTGAAAAGGGGTGCTCATTAAAACCATTGACAAGTCAAGTGTTTTGTGGGAAGCTGATTAGTAGAGAATATATGTGATTCAATGTCAATGAAGCTAGTTTGTGGGGAGTTATTACCCCTCGAAAATGCTGTGTTTAATAAATTTTGATAAAACTTTAATAAATTGGCAATATACACAAGAAAATAAGAAAGGTCAAGTAAATGTTGGATCTTGGTATGTGTGACATAGTTGATGGTTTGTCATCATAACTTGACATCACGGAACGCTGTTCACAACGCTGATCCTGAATGTCCCTCCATAATATATGTGAAACTTCTCCCCAGCCCAAAATCCAATATGGCATTATGTCATATAGGTCATTGTTGCCAGCAAGTGCAGTTAACATGAATGTGAACTCTGACATGTCCACATGATAAAGTTTTCACCCTTTCAGCAAAGGGATGTGTTTTTTTGTATCTATTTCATTCTCACATTCATTTCATGATTTACTGTAGTTGGAATATTTTTTACTGTCTTCTTTGTCACTGAATTGTAGCATTGTATATATGCGGTATTGTGGTGCATGTTTAGCATGTGTAAAATATCATTAGAACATATGATGCATTTGTTTCAATACCAGAACGGCGTAAAAGAGTTGAAGTCTACGTAAACAGTAGTGTACGAACTGATTCAGCTGTAGTACCATGTAACCAGTGTCTACTTTCCGATAACTCTTGCATCACAACTTAAGCAGCAAATCTACTGTAGATAAAATGTGTCAAACAAAATATGTACTCAGATATTTAGATAAGATGAAAGCTACATTGAAGTCTCCCTGGTTACACTAATCCCACTGATAAAGTCTGGTAGGATTGTAGAAGTCCATGTCCTTGTCATGGCTCTATCTAGAGATGAAACTAGATTGCCACTATGTAAATGGAAATGTTGGCCCAAAGAATGCTGAAGGTGAAGTGAATAGATAGGTTCAGAGTGTATCTCATCAGATCTCTCCAGCCAAAAGGTGTGATTGCTTGCATCAGTGTGAAACAAGTAAATTCTGCTTGCCTGTTTGACATTTTTATAACAGACAATAGGGGCGGTGGGGGTAGCTCAGTGGTTAGAGCGTTGACTTGTCATGCCGAAGACTTTGGTTCGAATCCCCACATGGGTACAATGTGTGAAGCCCATTTCTGGTGTCCCACCCCCCCACTGGGAAGTTGATGAAATTTTGCTAAAAGCGGTATAAAACCAAATGCTCACTCACTCACTACAACAGACAATAGGAGTCTTATCTTTCTTTGTTTTGTTTTTTGACATCCTGATGAATCTGTTTTTGGCTCTGTGTGTTGTATATTGATTTGTATCTTTTCTTTCCCCAGCTCTCTCTGGTCCGAAGTGGAGAGGGAACACTGTGAGATTCGCTACTATGACAAGGATGTATTTCTCCACCCTCTTGGAGATTCCTTGTGCATGGTCAATGGCTACCCTGCCAACGAACCAGTCAAACTTACTCAAGGTACTACTTTAGTCTTTGAATGACGTACAGCTGATAACCATGATCATTAACAGCAGCAGTTTTTATGATATAGAAACATCTGATGTGTGACATTTTTACACATAATATCTGGAAAATACACAAAAATTCTAAGGCCAGACCAATTTTATTTCTTGTTTTACGGATTTTTGTCCTCAGAAAACCTAAAGGCAGGAGGAAAAAACAACAAAAATAAAATCACCAGTCAAAGTAATATTCCTTCTAAATACTGAAAGTGTTTTACTTTTGGCAATTTATGAAGTGTATATGGAGCAAAAAACAATTTAAAAAAAATGTTCTTGTAAGTTTACATTTTTGGCCAATAAAAACATTAGGATTGTATTTTTTTTCGTATTTCTTGAAAAAATACTACAGGCAGATCCGTAAAACAAGAAATAAAATTGGTCTGGCCTAACCATAAGAAATCAATGAAACTAATAATTGAGATTAAAAACGATAATATAACTTATTTCCATCCCCATACTGAAAGACAGTAATAGGAATGGTTATGTCAAGTAATGTTTAAATCAATGAATGAATATTTTCTATAAGCACTCACTATTACATATCAGTAATAGACACTAATAATTGGAAATTTCACAAGCACACGTAGTGTGTAAAGTGAAATTATAATTTCATTAGTAAACATAGTAGATGTGATATTGGTATCTTCATCATGATATCCGGAATAGGCCATATTTAAAGCTAGCGAAGTCTCGCTGTGCGAGATCTCACGAGGCAAATTACCCATAAACCCTTCTTCATAAGGGACGAAATTAGAAAAGAACACAGAGTAAAGGAAAACATTTAATCAGATCATACAGATCTATTGAATTTGAACTTCAAACGGAAAAAACCCTAGATGGGGTCAGTGGCCACAAGTCATCCAGTGGAGCCCTCCTCTTCCTGGCCAGCTCGCTGTAGTCCAGACCCACAGCACTCAACTGCAAGTAAAGAGCATAGCATCATCAGCTATGACTTGGTTGAATCACTCAGATCAATCCAAAACTGTAAAATATTAAAATCCATTAAGATTGACATAAATTCAAAACATTTCCTGGAATGAAGTTAAATCTTAGCAATGCAATAACTCTGAGAAATGCCAAACAATCTAGGCAATTCAGGGTGGGAGATAGAATAGGGAATATCACATCTACTATGTTTACTAATGAAATTATAATTTCACTTTACACACTACGTGTGCTTGTGAAATTTCAATTTCATGTCATAAACATAGTAGATGTGATATTGGTAGTTCAAAGCCCGTAGTGTCAAGTATCTTTGACAAGCAGTTGCCACTGCTGATAGTATTTCTCAGATAGAAGGTTCTGAAAGTAGAGGCCTTGGTCCAGTTTCCCAACTTCAAAATGTCTGTGACAGAAGCACCTTTGGCAAATGCCTTTGAAGCACTAGCTCCTCTGACAGAATGAGCTTTGTAGTGTGAAGTGTCAATACCATTCCGCCTCGCCATAAGATTTGTCACCCATCTTGCAATACTTGGGGATGAAACCGGTTTATGCGGGTTTCACATAGCTCAAGAGAAGGCCAGACCTACATTCATCTCTCCAAGGTTCTGTGCGTTCTAAGTACACTCTAAGGCATCGAACTACACAGAGTGTGGGGTCCTTCTCATAGGCACTGAAACTCAAGGGATGAGGTTTTGTTCCTGTCTTAGTCACCTTGGTTGGTTTAATCAGGGTAAATTCTACTTCAGTGCCCCTGTCTACCATGTGTCTGATATCCAGGGAAGATAACTCTGAAGACCTGCTAGCAGAGGTTAGCATCAGAAGCATTGTCAACTTCCCAGACAAGTTTTTATCCGACAAATATATATTATCTTTCAATTTTTTCAAATATTGCAGCACCAAATCTACATCCCAGGCCACTGAGTATCTGGGCTGAGGAGGATTCTGATTAAAAATCCCTGACATTAATTTCCTGACCAGTGGGTGCTGACCCACATTATAGCCCTCGATAGTGGGGTGAAAAGCAGACAAAGCTGATCTAGCTGTATTTATGGTCCTGTACTGACTATTCTCGTGGTACAAGTGAGTGAGAAAGTCTAAGATAGACTCCACAGAGGCTGAAAAGGGATCAAAACCCCGTTGATTGCACCAGCCAGTCCACCTATTCCAGGAAGCATTGTGTTTCTTGTGTGCCAGGTAAGCCATTGGCAGGAGAGCAGCTGTGTAGTCAGCCTCTGAAATTCCTCTGGTCTTGATGCTACGCCTGAAACCTTCCATGCCGCTAACACCAGAGTGTTGTTTTTCTATCAGTGGATGAGGCAGGTTTTATGGGGAGTTTAACAGATCCCTCATCTGTGGGAGGAGGATTGGCTTTGTGACCGCCATCTCCAAGAGGAGTGGATACCAGGACTGACCTTGCCACACTGGAGTTATTAAGACCAGCTCCGCTTTGTCCTTTCGGATCTTCCACAGACACCTGCCTATCAGTGAGAATGGGGAAAGGCATAAGGAATCCCTGGTTCCAATTCACTAGAAACGATTTTATTGATTATCTCTTATTCATTTCACGCTGTATGTTTGCTGGAAACGCCTTCATAACAGATTTCATGAATCTAAACTGGTTAACAGGATACCAATTGTTTTCTAAGCTTCCCAGCAGCTAAGCTGTCCACATCTGGCAGACACTCAGGTGGCGGTGTAAGTATGTGTGAGACAGGACATTGCAAACAAATGTGCTTGAACTGAAGACTGAAATCAACAATTTTGTGTGTTTGAAATTCCATAGATTTGTATTTAATCTACCAAATGACTTATTTCTTGTTTGTATATATGTTCCCCTGTGAATTCTACATTTTACGACCGGCAGTACTGATACAAGATGTCTCATTGAAAGACTGGAGTCGTTTTATTAGACAACTGGTCTGATATGTCTACTTCGCGATGTACTGCTATGTGGCTTTTTTTAATGCTCGTATCTAGTAATGAAAATAATCCTATTTGCTAAGATCGGGATGAATTTGGTAATGATGATATCTATACAGATGTAGATAATGCTCCTGTTGACCAGCCGTGTGTCACATGAAAGTATCGCTAACAGATTTGGGCGTACTACTGAATCTGTGTTATGTGTGTCAGCTTTGTTCATAATGAACGGTAGAGTAGAAGGAGACAGAGGTGGAGAGTTTACATTTGTTGGAGCAAAATGGCTCAAGTGTCGCTGATTATTTTCTTGCATCTGCTGATTTGTTTGAGTTCAGAAAAGTTAAATGTTGGCTTATAGACCTGATTCTGACCATCTTCCTCTGGAGTTGTCGCTCAGGTTTCCTTCTATACACCGGGTCTAACCGGACAGTTGATTGTGCTAAGACTCCTAGTTTTAGTAAATTTGTATGGGATGCTTCTAAGCAGAATGAATTTATAAGTTCTCTCAAAGCAAGTTTGGATGCCAATAATGAGTCAATATTTAGTAAATTGGAGACTTCTCTTGAAGAGGGCATAGACAATTTCATAAAGTGTATATTAGATTCAGCATCTTGTATGAGGAGACAGTTTAGACAAGGTGATCTAAATCGTAAACTTAAATTTAACAAGGAGTGTAATGTAGCTAGATCGGAATCAAGGAAGGCTCTTAGGGCTATTTAGCGTTGTCGCACTGAGCAGAATCGCAGGAGCTATTGTAAAATTAGAAATAAGTATAAGAGTTCCTGTAGAGCTTTTAAGCTGAGTGCAAAACTCAAGGCTATGTCGACTAAATAGTACCCTCCACAGTCCTAGGCTGTTTTGGCAAAATATTCGCACCCTACAAAGAGGCTCCCCACCCGCATCAAAGTATATCACAAACAGAATGGTTTTGCCACTTCAGGGACTTGTTGTCTAAGGACGATATTATCTATGATGTACATGATGACACAATAGATACAGATAATGGATGTGACGAGTTTAGTGATGTTGATAAGTTTCTACTTGAGTCTCCTATTACAGAATTAGAAATAGTTGATGCTGTATCCTCCTCACTTTAAAGTTGGAAAGTCTGCTGGTGGATGGTGTTATTTCAGAGATGATCAAAACTGCCTTGCCTGAGATAATGCCGCTTCTAGTTAAAAGCTTTAATCGGATATTTGATTCTAGATGTTTTCCGTCTGAATGGGCTAAATCAATAATTGTTCCATTATTTAAGAATGGAAACATAAATAACCCCAACAATTATCGGGCATATCTCTGACAAGTGTTGTTGGTAAACATTTGTATCTATTATCAACAATAGGCTAACACAGTGGTCAAATATGAGGGACTTGATCCCAGATTCACAAGCTGGATTTAGAAAGGAATACTCAACCTTTGATCATATTTTTACTGTATACTCAGTAATTGAGCCGATGTTTAGCTTTTTAGTAAAAGAAAATTGTATGTAGCCTTTGTTGATTTTAGAAAGGCTTTTGATTCTGTTGACAGAGATAAAATGTGGAAATGTCTTAGAAATAGGGGTCTTAAAGGGAAAATGTTTGATATTATCAGGTCAATGTATTCAAATGTAAAGTCTTGTGTTCGATGTGATGATGCTTTCAGTGACTATTTTGATTGTCCTACTGGTGTACGACAATAAGGCTGTGTTCTAAGCCCCATACTTTTTCTCATTCTTTATCAACTAACTATATTTTGACGTTATACAATCTGGCAGACATGGCATCCAATTATTTCCTGATCTTGTTGAACTTTTATTTTACTTTTGCCCGTGATGTGATCCTTATGTCAAGTACTGTTATTGGCCTTCAGGAGACAAATTGATACACTTTCATCTTATTCAGATAACTGGCTTAATTTGATGTTAATCTTGAAAAGACCAAAATTGTTGTTTTTCGTAAGGGTGGCCTAACGGCAGCTACAGAAAAGTGGTACTTTAAATGTGAGCGATATGACTGTTGTTAACGAATATAAATATCTAGGGATACTGTTTACACATACACTAAATCTGAACAAATCCATTATTAATTTGGCAATTAGAGGGAAAAGGGCCCTACTTCAATTGCTCTCTGTTATACCAAAGTTGGGGGTTGTTGGTCCCAATATATTTTTTCAAATTGTTTGATTCCCAAGTACAGCCTATTCTTCTTTATGGGTCTGAAATTTGGGGCAATAAGGAATTTTATGCCATTGAAAAGGTTCACCTTCTTGCATGTAAAAGGTTTTAAATGTTGGGATGTCTACCCCTAATAATATGGTGTACGGTGAATGTGGGAGATTTCCTTTGTACATAATTTCTTACTCTCGCTGTTTAAAGTACTGGTGTAAAGTAATAAATATGCCAGAACATCGCCTGCCCAAAAACCTACAATATGATTGTCCATCTTGATAATATTGGTAAAAATACTTGGGCAACCCAGATATTATTCTTTGTTTGTTTAGATACGGCTTTGGATTTGTTTGGCTATCCCAAACCCTGGGCTTACGTTAATGCATTTATCAAACTCTTTCGCATACCAGGGCTATTGATATCTTTAAACAAGACTGGCATTCATCTTTATATGAAAGTTCAAGATATGATTGCTATCGTGAGTTTAAATCTTTACTTGAACCTGAGTCGTATCTATACAACTTAATGAGTAAAAGCTTCAGAGTGTTTTCATGCTCTTGAGACTTGGCCTAAATGATTTATATATCAATCAAGGAAGATATTCATCTATTATAAAATCACAAAGGTTCTGTCCATTTTGTAATACTGTAGAGAATGAATTACACTTTCTATTTCTTTGTCCTGCATATAATGATTTAAGGCAACTGTATTTTCCGCAATGGCTACAATCAAATATTAATGCTACAAAACTGTATTCAATACTTTCATGTAAAGCATCCCTATTACAATATAAGGTAGCTCTATTTATATATCATCGCTTATATTGAGAAGAGATTCAATGTAACGTGTGTGTGTCGAGATGTTGTATATGTTGTACATATCATACATATTTATTCTGTATATGGGCTCTGGCCTTCATGCAATAAACTGATACTATACTAGAAACGCATCTGTTGATTGTGCAAGGGGTCTGGCCTCCAGCTGCAGAACGGCTTCATTTGGAAAGTCAGTCTCGATGCAAAAAGGTCCATTGAGAAGGGACCCAGTATCTGGTTGCATTGAGCAAAGATGATTGGATTGAGCATCCAATCGCCGAGTCGCTGAAGTGGCGAGACTCCCAGTCCGCATGAATGTTCTCTACCCCTGGCAGATAGACTGCTGTTAAGAACAGACGGTTCTGGAGACAGAAACCCCATATCTGCTTTGTGATCTGCAACAGACTGACTGATTTTGTCCCCCCAAATCGGTTCACATAAGCCATGGCTGTCTGATTGTCCACTTGGACCAAAATAGATTGATCTTTGATCCCCTTACAAAAGGTCAAGAGTGCCAGATGAATTGCCTTCAGCTCTAGAACATTTATGTGCATACTCTGCTCTATCTCTGACCAGCGGCCTCCTGTTGATCTCTGGCCGTGTATTGCTCCCCATCCCTTTTTTGATGCATCTGTCTGGAGAATTACATCTGGATGAGCTGCCATGATTGGCTTCCCGTTGAAATTGGTGAGGTTGGTCATCCACCACTTCAGTTCCTCCAGACAAACCGGAAGGCAGTGTAATCATTGACTCAGTAACTCTGAGAATCGCAAAAGCTCCCTGCTCGAATGCATCTGCAGGTAACGACAATGCAGTTGAGCGGGTAAGATTGCTCTCATTGAAGCTGACAGTTTTCCTATCAAACTTGCCAGTTGTCGAATCCTTACCTGTTTCTTTCTCATCATGTGACGACAGGTTGCTACAATGTTCTCTACCTTCTCCTCTGGTAAGATCAGAGTACGATCCACCGTGTTTATCTGAAACCCCAGGAAAGTGATCGACTGGGTTGGTGACAGAACTGATTTCTTCCAGTTTATGACAAAGCCTAGGGACTGGAGGAGAAAGATGAGGGTGTCCCTGTGTTGACTCAGCAGGGTCGGCGATTCCGCTATACACAAGATATCGTCCAGGTATATAATCAATCAAGCGGATGCCTGCTCGCCGTGCCAAACTTACCACTGGGCTAAAGAAGTTTTGTGAATGCTCTTGGAGCTGGGGCAAGTCCAATGGCATGGCATGCATCGGAACTGATACAGAACACCCTTCCAAGAGAAGCCGGAGTAGCTTTTCATGTGGGGTGCCATTGGGACGCTGAAGTAAGCATCCTTCAGATCCAGCTTGCAAAGGTAGTCCCTTTTGCGGATCAAGTCCCTTAGAAGGTGTAGTCCTTCCAACTTGAAGTGTTTGTAAGGAATGTGAGCATTGAGGGCCTTGAGATTTATGATTGGCCTCTGCCCTCCATCCTTCTTGGGAACCATGAACATAGGACTTAGAAACTGATCCGAGTCCATCGAAGCAGACTGGGGAACAACCTCTATCACATGTTTGCAAAGCATTGATTGGATCTCCTGGCTCAAGGCTAACTGTCTTGTGAGCTTTAGTTTTGGTTGAAACACGATTCTGAATTGGTTTTGACAACAGAGGAATCTCAAACCCGAAACTGTCTGAAGTATCCAAGGATCTGAAGTGATCTTTGCCAGTTTTTAAAAAGTGTACCAGACGACCCCCATGAGGGATTCCTTGTAAAACAGAAGATCCAGGTTTAGCTCTAGAATTGCTGGGATAACCTGTAGATGTGGCATTGAGGAAGGAGGAGCATTGTGGGAACAGGCGTTGCTGACATTTGACCCACCTGATATAAGAGAGTCTGCGATTCCGACCGGACTGACCCGGCTCTTCCTCTGCCTCTGGAAGAGTTGCCTCTGAAACCTCTGTTGAAGGAGGGCTTGATGTGGAATGTGCCCCAGTAGACTGTCTTCCTCCTGAGGGCATTCTCTGAAAGGGCTGTCTATCAGGGTGACTGGGCCCTTGGTGTCTGAAAGTAGGTCTCTGCGAGCTGAACGTCTCTCAGCATCAAATATCAATTTGGCTTTGGTTTTACGCTTTTACCTCCTTCAGCATGATCGTCATAAAGGCATCTCGAAGAGTCTGCCCTTAGCCTCTGACAAAGCTGTGTCATGCTTGAGAATGAGGCGTTTAGCCTTCTTGACATCCTTAGAAAGTTTAGCCAGAATGTTTAGCCTTCTGTTGTAATTCATGGAGACATTAGCCTGACCCGATAAGACAGGTGGTTTTCTCTACCAATTCCAACAGCTCAAAGATGTCTAAATCGGTGGGGATTCACCTCTGCGGATCTTATCAAGGTTATGCCACAGGTGACATAGAGGCCCCATGGAATTCAGAATCCGCTTTTGAATAAATTGAAGGGATTGGTCAAACTTTTTCTCGAACGACTTTCCCTTAGCCTCAAAGAGGTCGTCCAGATATGGATCCAGAGAAGGAGTCTGAAGACATTCCTCTGAAGGGACAGGGAGATCCTCTAGAATATTTTCTTCTAGTTTGGAATCCTGGCAGAAGACAGAGAAATTTCTCTGAGTCTGTTTTGACAGAGTATGCAGGGAGACACCATTCTGTTGGGTCTTTGGCATCAGCTAACGAGAAGGGGCGTAATCATCGAAAGTCTCTATTGTTCCTGTTTTATTGATTACCAGTTTTGGCGAGAACGACCCTTTATCCCCACGTTGATTACGTAGCAGACTCAACGTAAAGATTCGATCGAGCTTACATCGCCGAGGGGAAGATTCTGATCCTGAATCTGACTCAAAGTCAGAAGCAGAAGCCACCCGTCAAGCAAATTCGAGCACGCTTTGTGCTGACTAGAGTGGCTATCCAACCCCAAGTCTCGCTTGTTGCCCGACCCTATGGTTGGGGTTGATGGGACTTGCCCAAACCATCCACGTGGTTTTTCGACATATCATCGGTTGCAGATGTATGCCTCTACGGGCACATTTTTCTGCTTAGGTATACCATCTAGGTCCTGTATGGACCCTTTGATGGAAGAAAAGTTATTCATACCAATCTATGCAAGTGAAAACGATCAAAACTTACGGAATGGCCGGCTCACGTGTCTATCTACATTGAGGCCATGATGAAGAAGGGTTTATGGGTAATTTGCCTCGTGAGATCTCGCACAGCGAGACTTCGCTAGCTTTAAATATGGCCTATTCCGGATATCATGATGAAGATACCAATATCACATCTACTATGTTTATGACATGAAATCAATTATTGCATCAATACAGGCAATCTTATTAATTATGAACTGTCACTACTCATTGGGTATCATGTTAAATGTATAAACATAAAACTAAGTTGTCTCTCTCTGTAGGTGCTGTGATTGTTCTTGGAAGAACAAACATGTTTCGCTTCAACCACCCGGAAGAGGCAGCTAAATTGAAAGAAGAAATGAGCAAGGTAAAAATTAAAATTGATAACAAAAATGATGCTCTTGACCCATTTGGAATGTCCTAGGGTAGAGTGTGCCTAATACACTATGCATGTGAATGTCAGTAAAAGTGATTTGAAATACTGTTCAAACTCCCTCCCTCCCTCCATCTCTCTCTCTAACCGCCTCCGGGGTGAAGTGGTTAGAGCGTCCGCCCGGAGAGCGGAAGGTCGCGGGTTCAATCCCCGACCGCGTCATACCAAAAGACATTAAAATATGGTACTTGTTGGTCTCTGTCTGGCTCTCGGCATTAATGGGTACAACAAGGACTGGTCAGCTCAGAGTCAGTATAATGTGTCTGAGTGGGGTATTCATGCTTCACTGCGGCATGGTATCTCAGTGGGCATACACGGGCATGCACGTCGTCATATGAGCGAAATATTCTCAAGCACGACGTAAAACCCAATTTCACCTCACCTCACCTCACCTCACCTCACCTCACCTCACCTCACCTCACCTCTCTCTCTCACTCACTCACTCACTCACTCACTCACTCACTCACTCACTCACTCACTCACTCACTCACTCACTCACTCTCTCTCTCTCTCCCCCTCTCAACCATGAGGCTGGGTGATTCAAATGATGTCACTTGGATAACAGGTAGCCTAGTGGTGTACAAACATGTACCAGTTGTCTGAGGTTCCAATAATGTTCAGAGTTACATCTCTTGGACATGCTGGGAACCTATAATTCTTATGAATCTTCTACCTCTATTACAATATTGCCATAAATCCTGTATCTCACAAAATGTATCAAAACAAATAAAAAGTCTGTACCTATACTCAATATTTATGAAAGTATTAGTCGTTTTTGTGTTTGTGAGAGTCCAATATGGCGTCGTCATCTCACCTCTAGCCTGTAGATCATACATGAAGTTCTTGATAACTGGTGATTACATCCAACTTCATACAGCTTGCTGGATATGTAGAATTGATCCTGCAGAGAATAAACTGGCAGTGAGTTATCCCTATCCCAAGACAGCCTCCAGCAATATCACGGCGGGGGACACCAGAAACAGGCTTCACACATTGCACCCTTGTGGGGAATCAAACCCAGGTCTTCGGCATGATGAGCAAACTCTTTAACTACAAGGCCCACTGCCCCTCTATTTCAGAGGAGATAGAACAGTTGCATCATTTTATACAACAAAAGTAGGAGGAATTTGATTTTTCCACAGATGCCAGAATATGTGGGATCTCCAGCCCCAGGTTCATCTCTTAGACTAAACACCATCCTCAAACATTGCCAAGCTAAAATCAACCATGCTTCCGACAATTGATCTCAGTTGAGATGCAGTGAATGTTGCCCCTTACCTTTGCTGAAGAAGAATATGTACCAGACACATGACTGTGCATGCCTAGGTGTTCTTGATGAAGAGTTTCTAAAACTGGTATGGTGGCCATACACCAGAGTTAACTTACCTACCAAGAAACTACCTTCGACAGTGTCTCTACAGAACCCACTCCAACGATTTTTATTGCTTCAGAGACAGATTCTTTTCAAGCTAATTAGGGAGGGGATAGAATGGAACAAATAGTGCCAATCATACCAATTTGACCAAAAGCATTGTAGACAGGGCAGGAGAGGCACCAGACAATGTAGGCTCTGACTTGACAACCAACCATTCTGTTCCTTTCAATCCTGTCAAGCAGCTTTAACTATGGATTAAGATTTACAACTGCCGACTTTCAACCAGTGGAAATGATGATATAACCTGTGAGATCTATGCAACAATGACAATATCCACGATAGCAGGCTTTACGTCATCTACGTCAAGACAAACATTTCCACTATGGCACAATAAAGGAATATAGATCTGCCTAATACCCTGTGCTACATGTTGACGGATTGTCATCCTTCTATCTATAGGCTAATGAGGTCTTTTCATATGGAAGATGTCAGAGCTCCAAGATTCTTCTGAAGTAGAATCTTTACTGGTCCTTTCAGGATTATAACCAGAACAGTTTGAACATCATACTATAGCTACTTTATTCCAAATATCAAGAAAATCAGCCTGTTTTACTTGCCTAAACCACAGTAGCTGGAGTATCTGAAGTCCATCAATCACTGGCCCTCTATTACATCCAGACCGCTGCTGGACGTTGTTGCAATGATTTCAATTGACTACTCTGTTGCATATGTAGCAGGGCATGAAGTCATCCCACAGATGACATCCTTACCTTGTCAGCTTGCTGACAGGGTTAACCACTTTGGTCATGTGGACAAGGCCTCCAACTTCAGATCAGAAGGTCCGTAGTTCAAATCCCAGCATGGCCACAACACATACATTAAAGGATTCCTGCACCATCCTGTGTTCATTGAATGCTCTAAAGTTCTATGTCAGACCTTCAGAACCTCATGGAGGACTGAAAGAGATTCATACAGGACATTCACGGACAAAGGCATTACAAATACAAGCAACGGTTGTAGGATGAATGGCAAAAACTAACAACAGCTGAAATAGTTGAATGTTCCAGATGACCCAGAGACTCACATAGACCCTACGCTCACATCCTCCTCAGCCCATGAAATAAGAGCTTTGGAATCAGGTTTCTGATCCTGGAATACAGTTTCCACTCAACAACTTGTGTCAGCTGTCGATGGTAGTGAGTGGAAGTGACATCACTATTTAAATGTCATCTTGACTAAAAGTCACCAGAAATGACATCAGAGATGGGACATAACACAGAATTGACATCACAGAAGTGAAAATGACACTTAAAACTGGATTTTACATCACACTTGGAAGTGAAAATATGACCAAAATTAATGTCAGAACTATAAATGACCCCCAGAAATGATGTCGGGTGGAGCTAAACAGGGAGTTACATCATAGTGAAAAGTATGATAAGCTGAAATAATATGGGCCATAAAACCTGAAATGAAGATAAATGAGATTTTTTGTTGTACATCTATGATATCAATAACATGCATAATTACAAATATAAAAGGTACTTCAAGTGAAGGTATTTCATGCTTGTGTTCTTCCATATGAAGTTTTGAAGTCTTCCTAGAGTGATTTGTTAGTTCTATTTTGCCTTTATTATTGTTGTTTAGTTAATATTTACTGTCAAGATAGTAAGTAACTGTTATAGGATGAAATCACAAGAATGTTGTCCTACTGTCAACTACGTACACTAGCATACACTAGAGAGATAACCTGTCTTACCCTTTGGTATATTCTGGCAATGTTGGGATCAATAAGGGGATTCATAAGACTTGTAGGAACAAAGGACATCCTTGCTAATAATTCTTAGAATACTGCTTCTGTTACATGTAATCTCTTACTCCTCACCTTTCTCCTGTCCAAAGATGATAGATTTTGGGAAGAAGTGAGGTTTTCCCTTTCCAGTTTAACTTTGATTTGAGGTCATACTGAAAAAGGAAATAATCTGACAATCTGGATATTCTGAAAAAATTGTTTGGCTCTGCATTTCAGGAAAAACAACTTATTTGTGAAGCTCAGTCTGAAAAACTATGTTGTTTGAAACAAAATCACAGACAAAACTTTGGTTGTATTTCATTCTGTGTAGAATCTGTTGTAGTTTCTATATCTGTAGTTTCCAAAATTGTCCAAGAAATTCTCCACATTAGTGTAAAACTTCACAGCATCTGATCAGTTGAGTATCACTGGTTGAAAAAGTAGGTAGTCTGTATTCTGTATTTAGCCCCAATCTTGACAGTGTACTGTTAGTGGATTCTTTGCAAACTGCTGTATTGTCCGTCTGCTCCACTCCGTGTGTTTGCACACCATCCTTATGTTGACAGTTTCAGATGTGGTTTGAGCAGACGGGCTGCACACATCACGATTTGGTCCAGCAGGGTTAATTACCTCGGACACTCATCACAAAGTACAGAATTCTATTTTTGAGTCAAATTTAGGCACTGAATAAAATTGTTTCAAAAAAATGTAGGAAAAGTTTAAAGGTTCATCGTTTCCAGAGGTGCAATGTTGGATGCATGTTATGTGTGTTATGTGTGGGGACAGAATTAAATGTCCCCTCTGTGTTGGTACATTCCAAGCCTGGCAAACATGGCCAGCATTAACAGTGGACCGCTGTGCAGGTCAAGTCAATATTGAACGATGATCTGTCGTGATAATGAAATTACCAGGCATCCTAATCACGACTGTGGATGGCAGGCCAGCAGCAGACACTACAATGTTTCTCGGACTTCCTTTGTAAGCTAAATTGACTCACAGCTGAGTTCAAGTAATGCCATACTTCATGATCATTTTGAACAAACTTGTGGCACTTGAATATCCATTCTGTCACAGTTCTATTGGTAATTATCTGTCTTCTTTATCTTCTGTGGAGTTTGTTGGCGTTGTGATGTAACAAAATAGTATGTCTTTTTGTTATTTTCTCTTCTCTCTTGGTGTTGTATTTTTCAAACTTAAATATACAGGTATTGTTTGGTTACATGTTACTTTTATTGCACTATTTTCATTTAATGCTTTGAAGAAAAATAACATGACTTTTTATGCTACTACCATGCCATATTCTATATATTGCTTTCCCCACCATTTGTTTACGGGGAGAGATTGGACCTTGTGCAATCTTGGCATGACCCGTGGACATTCATCCGTAAACACAATGTTTACAGTCATGGCCTTCTGTTCCAGTCTACCTCAAACCTGAATCTTTCCACGAACTCCCTCCTGAGTCACTCTCGTACATCTCTGCTGAGCCACTCCATGACAGATCTGTACCGGTCTACAGACAGCCTCTCTCCACAGAGCTCAGGGTGAGTTTGGGGGCCACCGAGGCATTGAAGAAGGGGAGTAGGGAAGGGGAGAAAGTTGTTTGATTTTATGCAGCCATGACTGAGTCTCGTGTATATATATAGCAAGTTGTTCCCTGCCAGTATGTGCTGGTCTACAGCCCGTTTCCACAGGGATCAAGATGCATGTGGGGAAGGGGGAGGGGGTGTCAGGCAGTGAAAGGAGTGTAGGGGTAGAGGGATAGCGGAAGAGATTGTTTATTTGAGGCACTTATAACTTGTTTATATTTACAGCATGTTCCTCCATGCCAGTATTTACAGGTGCACAGCCTGTCAGAGCCACAGAGCTCATGGTTGCCCTACTGTTTTTGAAGACCTTGCATGAAAGTTAAATTAGTTTGATGTGCAGTTGATGTTTGTTGTGTGCCAACATTGACCCATATCCTGTTGTGATTCCCTTAGTGTAGGTCTCAGACTTTGTCATATTAGAAACTTGTTTGTGTCTTTGTGTCTAAGAAACCGGGGCGGTGGGGTAGCCAAGTGGTTAAAGCGTTGGCTCGTCACGCATGTCTGGGCACAATGTGTTAAGCCCATTTCTGGTGTCCCCCGCCGTGATATTGCTGGAATATTGCTAAAAGCGGCGTAAAACTAAACTCAGTCAGTCAGTCTAAGAAACCTGACTCTGTTTATGTCTGTTGGTCAGTTGTCTGACCTGAGATTACCTAGCTATGTTGGGGGCACAGGCCCAGTCATCAAAGGCATCATAATTCATGGAGTTGCATCCCTTGGACATGACAGAGACCCAAGGTGTGGGTTTGATTCCCAGTTGTAGCTCATTCCAGTTATGCGTGTGTAAGTGAGTGAGTGAGATTAGTTTTACGCCACATTTTGCAATATTCCAACAATATCATGGCGGGATGGGCTAGAAATGGGCTTCACACATTCTACCCATGTGAGGAATCAAACCCAGGTCTTCAACATTATGAGCACACTCTTTGACCACTAGGCTACCCCACGTTCAGATAGAGTTCAAGGTATTTTGTCATACCTTTTCTTGAATGGTATAATGGCATCCTTGATTTACTCTATGTCATGTCAAGCAACTCTGTCATGCCAATCAGTCAATGCTTTTTAATGAAGCTTTGGTTTATTACTTTGGTGTAATTTCTGTTTGCAAATGCACAATTGTTTGACATGGATGAGCACTTGACGAATGAAACACATTTTTGTACACATTAATAATTTCACAATAAATATCCAGATAGATGGCATGTAGTTTTCATTTTTAACTTGTGACAGGTATATTTAGATTCTGTACCCTTGTTTGAAAATAAGTAAGTTTTACCCAAACCTTGTGCATGCCGTAAGAAGCTGTCAGAATGTGTTTTTGGAGTCAACAGTGGCTGATGAATACCTGTTTGACCAACAAGTGTGTTATGGATCATTTGATGTTGGCAAGAAAGTGAGTAATTAGGTTTAACACTGCACTGAACAGTATTCTCAGTTATATCCCAGTGTATAAGCTAAATGTGGGAGGAATGCCCTAAGTGATGCAGGTCTCACTTATTTACCACTTTGATGAAACCCATATACTGGGGTATGGTGCTGAAAAACAAGGAAATGTTATCTGGGCGAACAGGCATTTGTACCTATGTTTCCAGTGTGCCCAAGGGACACAACTCTGCACAGTGAATTGTGGCATATTATACATCTATATTGTGTAAACAAAGTGCATTACACAACTCAACCCATACCTAGAAAACTAAAACTAGACACATTTTGTCATGATGTGAGTGATATTAATCACTACAATTTATTTTTTGAAAGTTTATTGGTTTCATTTTAACATTTGGTGCCCGGCATGTGAGTAAGGTGTGCACACTAACTGCATGTGTCTGCATGTCTGTGTTCCAGTTGGGAGCTTGAGCATGTCCACAGGGAGGAGCTGGAGAAGCTGGATCAGAAGAGGTGAGCAGACAGCACATCAGTACACACAGACAGTGGTTCCAATCGGATTCTGGAATGAATAGCTCCATAGTGTGCTGTGTTTGGTGTTTTAGATATATTTGAAATAAGCCTTGTCCAACATTCCATCCTGAAAATGTAAAGATGGATTTTTCTCTGTTGGTATCAGATTAACTTGTGGCAGTGTGAAAAGAAGAAAATTAGAAGAAATGACATAACTGATACACAAGTCACGAACATTGTCATTGGTTGTAATTTGAAAAATGAACTTTCTTCTACATCACCCCATGTGGTAACTGTGTGGCAGACTGTTGGACATACCCAATACTTGTAGTAAAAGCGAAATAATGAAGATTGGTTTTATACAGTGTATGACCAACAGGACCAGGAGCCTGTTCCACAAAGCAGTCTTAACACTTCGACTGTCATGAGTCTCTGTTAAACAATGAGAGTTGAAATACCTTTGTGGAACAGGACCTTAGCACGGGTCTTCCAAGAACTGAGACAGTTGATATCAATGTGTATTGTAAGAGTTGTGACATGTATTCAGACAGGAGATTGAGGAACTGGAGGAGAGGTATCGCGGCATGGAGGAAGATCGGATGATACGACAGATAGCCCTAGAGAAGGAGCTGTCAGAGAAACAGGAGTGTTTGGAGGAGATGAGGGAGAGCCTGCAACAGCTGCAGCACATGCTGGGGTCAGAGGTCAGTATGACTGGGGTCAGAGGTCACTCTCCAGTGTGGCATCAGTCCATGGTAGTTGCTAGAGTTTAATATCGGTATTGTGTCACTATACATAATCAAATGTCAGTATGTATCAAGGCATCATCTGCTAACATGGATGGAAATACAATGTCATTAGATATGAGGTCAGATGCTGAATGGAAATATATTGATGAGTGAGGTAATCACTAATGTTTGTTTTTGTTGTTTTTTTAATTATTTTTATTTCCCAAAGTACATTTGGTGTTTTCATAATACATTGTACAAAACATCATACACAACATCCTCGTTATCAATTTGTTGTTGTCATAATACATTGTACAAAACATCATACAAAACATCCTCGTTATCAATTTGTTGTTGTCATAATACATTGTACAAAACATCATACAAAACATCCTCGTTATCAATTTGTTGTTGTCATAATACATTGTACAAAACATCATACAAAACATCCTCGTTATCAGTTTGTTGTTGTCCTAATACATTGTACAAAACATCATACAAAACATCCTCGTTATCAATTTGTTGTTGTCATAATACATTGTACAAAACATCATACAAAACATCCTCGTTATCAATTTGTTGTTGTCATAATACATTGTACAAAACATCATACAAAACATCCTTGTTATCAATTTGTTGTTGTCATAATACATTGTACAAAACATCATACAAAACATCCTCGTTATCAATTTGTTGTTGTCATAATACATTGTACAAAACATCATACAAAACATCCTCGTTATCAATTTGTTGTTGTCATAATACATTGTACAAAACATCATACAAAACATCCTCGTTATCAATTTGTTGTTGTCATAATACATTGTACAAAACATCGTACACAACATCCTCGTTATCAATTTGTTGTTGTCATAATACATTATACAAAACATCGTACACAACATGATCGTCATCAATTTGTTGTTGTCATAATACATTGTACAAAACATCGTACACAACATGATCGTCATCAATTTGTTAGGTAGTCACTAATTGGTTTGAAGAGTCTGTTCAAAACTGAAGCAGGCAGTCTTGTAGAATCTGTGTGTTGTATAGTCCCTGCTGTATGAGGAGGTTTCTGCTGCAGGATGCTGAGCGGCTGGACTATGAGGACATGCTACAGAAGCTGGATGAGCGGGAACAGCAGCAGCTGGCGTCTGCCCGAAGGATGAAGGCAGAGTTGGGGGAGGTCAGTCAGACAGGCCATCAGTGTTAAGGCTTTTTGCATGCAGCTTACTAATTCCTTGAAGTTATTTGCAAGGTGTAGTGAGTGATTATGGTTTTAAGCTGAATTTAGCAATTTTCCAGCAATATTCCAGCAATATCACAGCAGGGGGACACCAGAAATTGTACCCATGTGGTAATTGAACCCAGGTCTTTGGAGTGATGAGTGAATGCTTTAACCACTAGGCTACCCCACTGCCCTTTGCAAGGAAATACGGAATGTGGGCCAAGTGTACATTGCCCTGATGGTTATCTTGGCTGGTCAGCACCATGTTGTATGTTATTAGAAAGGTCTGTAATACTATTTCCTCCAAATCTGAGCTGATCTGTGTATGATGTAGCTGAAAAACTTATCTAAGCTGCCACAAACCCAACTCACTCTGCTGTCTGTGTCCCAGGAGATTGTGGAGCTGCGGAAGCACCAGGAGGAGATCAAGGCAGATTGTGATACTATGGTGGACAAGCTGGAGCAGAAGGAGCAGGAGAAGAGGGAGCTCATCTCAAACCTGGAGGAAGAGATACGCTTGAGGAAGGACTCGCTGTACACTGAGAAAACAAAGGTCAGGAAGAGGCACTGTGTGACTCTGAGACAAATATAGGGATTTTTGTGTATTTCGGCATGAGATATTCAAACACAAAAATGTCACAGTCATCATTCTTTGTCATTAAAGTACATATTTGATTGTCCAATTTTATTACAATTTAGCGTGGTTAAAACTTATCCACAGTACTTTACTGCTATGTACAGTTGTGAAAACAATGTGCTGTTTTCTCCCAATATCAGTTATCAGTTAAATTTCTGTTCTGTTTGGATAATTACCTAGAACCCATTCAGTACTGTAGCTCCATTTTCCACTTTATTTGAATAGCGACACCTGCAAAGTAGCCATCCAGTGTAAGTACTTTCACAAGTGAGTGAAATTGTTTGGTCATGGATAGACCTTGATCTGTCTGTTTGTGAGTCTGACAGGGCTGTAGCATGGAGGTAAAGTGTGCCTGTGTACCTATCTACCAACAACACATCACATTATTTGTAGTATATGTGAAATTTCCTTGTTTTAAATTGCAATTAAGTGTTTGACTGAAGAAAAAGTTTCATAGACTTTCCAAAAGTTACATTTTTTTCTAAAAGAATGGTATTTATATCAGGCGTGAATGCTTCAGTGACTCGCTGTGCTTACTATGAACATGTACTCCCAGTATTGAATTTCAATGCATATAGGGAATATTCCTTTGCATCCAGGAAAACCCTTTGTAAGATCAGACCGCCTCCGTGGTGTAGTGGTTAGAGCGTCTGCCCGGAGAGCGGAAGGTCGCGGGTTCGATCCCCGACTGCGTCATACCAAAAGACGTTAAAATATGGTATTTGTTGGTCCCTGTCTGGCGCTCGGCATTAATGGGTACAACAAGGACTGGTCGGCTCGGAGTCAGTATAATGTGTCTGAGTGGGGTAATCATGCTTCACTGCGGCATGGTACCTCAGTAGGCTAGCACTATAAAACCAGCTTCAGTCTGGGCTAGTACAAGCAGCCGCACATACACATACACACGCATGCACCTTTGTAAGATCAAGGTGGAAGTGGTGATGTTCAAACCAAAGATATGGTGGCATACAGTGCCTGTGTATTTATCATGATAGACTGACTGGAGAAGAGAAACACACAAACACATATAATCAACTGATATCTCAATGAAATGTCCAGTAATATCACAATCAAATCATAGGAAATTATTAAGTATTATTAGAGTTAAGTGATATATTATAAAATGATAAATGTATTTTGTAGTGATATCACTAGCTATTAAATGATAACACAGTTAGGCATCAGAGATCTCTGTCACGTTGTAATGACAAAACAGTATTGATGGTCATCTTCTGTTTTGTAATTGTAGTAGCAATTTGAGGTAAATGCTGAAACTGTTGTAATCAAGTGATGTATGTTCAATGTGATCAGCCAAGGCTGTATACACATGGTATAAATTATATGATTACAATAAACTGCTTTAACAGTGCTTGAGAACTTTGTTAGAATCTACACAGATTCTGCTACAGGTGTAATTAAGAAGTTGATCATTGATATTGTTGTCATTAGTTGTAATTATCCATCCTCTAAATGCCACTCAAAACCCATGTTGAATCTTCTCCAGGGATTGAAGTCCATCGAACAGGAGAAGGGGCAGATACAGTTGGCTCAGAAACAGTTAGAAGAAGAAAAAAACAAGTTGTTGGCGAAAGATGAAGGTTTAAAAAAGAAATTTAGTGAACTCAGTGAGAAAGAGAAATCATTAAATGTGAGACTTAAGAAACTTGACCAGGAGAAGAAGGAGAGATGGAAACAGCTCCTCGATGAGGTAGCAGAGGAGAACAAAAAGATCGAGGAGGCATGGTCAGATCTGAAGGAACATGAGGTCCAGTTGGAGGAAGCTTTAAGGAAAGCTGTCTGTGATAAGGATGAGGATGAGCGGCACTTGGTAGAGTGTGAGCAGCGCCATCTGGACTCAGCTCGTGAGTTGCTGAGGGAAGAAGAGGAGAAGGTGGCAGGTAGGGAGCATGAGTTGATAGAGCTGGTGGAACGAGAAATGGATGAGTGGGAGAGAGAGAAGGCAGAAGGAATTGGTCAGATACAACAAGAAAAGAACAGTCTGTTGGCGTCTGCTAGGACAGTTGCAATGGATAAACTTGAAAAGGAGATTGAAGATAGGACGGATGCAATAGATTCTCATGCAGCACGAATTGTTGATGAGGAAGAGACTGTGCTAAGGCTAGAGAAGCAGTTAAATGCGAAACTGACTGATGTGCACAGGGAGAAAGATGCAATCCATGCAGAGAGGGAGCAGACGTCCAAAATGGCTGATGTGCAAGTGGAGCAGAAGAATAAATATATTGAGGAAATTCAGGCAAAGATGACAGAGATTGATGATGAATGTGAGGCAGAGCTTGGTCGGATCAAGAAGGAGAGAAACAGGTAAGTCAGCCATTGCCAGTTATCGTTGACATCCTTCTGTCTTGTATAATCATAGATGTCCCCAGGAAGAACAGGCCCACAGAACCACATGCGTGTCCACTGAAACTAATTAGGATTTTGTGGTCACAGTGTGAGTTTCTGGACTAAGCTTCTCTTTGTACAGTCATTGATAGGCCCCATGCCCTGTGCATTTCTGCACAAACTAATCAGGATTAGGTATTCACAATGTGACTTTCATGTCTAAGCTTCTCTTTGTATTGACATAGATAGACTCCATGCACTGTGCATGTCCACACAAACTAATCAGGATTAGGTATTCACAATGTGACTTTCATGTCAGTGCTTCTTGTGACATAGTCATGGATGTAGTCAATTGTGGGAAAACAGGGCCAAAGAATCCCATGTGGTCTAGTCCCACTAATGAGGATTGGGTAGTCACTGAACTTTATTTACACTCTGGCTATGTTCTGCAGCAGTAGAGGTACAAGTTTACATCAAATGTACAACTTAATGTGTGGCTTTGCTGATTGTGTGTCATTGTTCCCGGACTGTGTGGATCGTTACTTAGGCTGTCTACTATGTGAATGCATGATAGAGATTCTGTGTTTACAGAATACTGGTGGATTTGTGCTAGCTGCATCTAAACAACATTCATTGTTGACGACAAGAATTTGTTTGTGCATTCAGAGTTTGCGTCACAAAAAATGACTTAGAAACAAATTAGAATTTTCACTCTTGAGAATTATTCAAACTTTTGATATCAGACTGTAGTGATTTGTACTGTTGGAACAAAAATATTGAAAAGTTGTCACTGTAGTTTATTTCATGCAACAGAAGAAAACATGCAGTTTGTGAATATGTTCGTAGCTATAATTAGTATTAACAGAGCACATTCATTTCTTGAAGAAGCTGGTTTCTATCTTGATTGTTACAATTTTCATGTTGAGTAAGGAATTTAAAAAATCAATAATTGCACTTCCATGGTGTTCCTAGTGATCTGTAAGGACATGCTCCAGTAAACTGAATATATGTTGATTAGTTGTTCAAACAACTGGCACCGAGTGATGTGCATCAATAAAGGAGGTGTTAATCAATATGGTATATCTCTTGTATTTGCTATTTGATAATATCCTGAAGCAGAAACACCTGTGAAGTAGCGTCTGTTGTATCATATTGCCGCTAAACGCTCAGATCATAACACCGTCTAGTGTTGCTGGCATTGTATGACCAGGCCCCTAAGACATATACTGTACATCAAAGGTGTGATGCACCTGAGGCTGTTTACCTGGCTGTTTACCTGGCTCAGAAGGTGAAATTGTCCCTTTGGCCGTCCTCATATTAAATTAAGCATGCGAGACACGGCCAACACGAATCTGACTCCAAGCTGTCCATGTCCGGTGTCTTTGTTTTGGACAGTAGTGAGATATACATATCAGCTTGATGTCATCCAAATTATGAGCAGACAAATAAATTGCAAATAAATCTGCCCTGTTGGAGAAATTATAGTTGGCACAATCCCTTTTTGTGTGTAGGAAAGGCACATTTTATACTTTTCATGAACTGGTCATCTGGAGTTATGATGCATTTAAGTAGTACTGAAATATGACAAATAACTTCCGAAAAATTGCTTTAGTTGTATAAAGTTGAAGTAGAGTGCTAATCTATTAGTAATATCAAATTTAAATATATTTCAATTATTCAATATTTCCAAAAATAAAATAAAATCACATTTAAAAGTGATACTAAGAAGCAAGTTCAGTTGTGTAAAACTGAACCATGACATATTTGGTCATTTACTAGTTTTGTTGCCATAGTTACTGTTTTCAGATTTCGTACTGACAGTTTGTGAAACTGGTAATTAATTTGTAATTGAAGTTATAAAACAACAAAATTTGATTATCACACATCAACATATAGATATCTCAATGAATTATCAAATAATATCACAATCAAATGATGTTATAGTGAATTATCAGGTCATATCAAATGATATTGCTTGTTCTCAAATGATATCTCAGTCAAGTATCAGTTGATATCACAGTTTAGTAACAAATGATATCAGTGAATTATAAAGAAATATCACAATTGATCTTGTGCTTTAGAGAAGCAGTTGGTAATGATATCTCAGTCAAGTATCAGTTGATATCACAGTTTTGTAACAAATGATATCAGTGAATTTTGAAGCAATATCACTACTGATCTTGTGCTTCAGAGAAGCAGTTGATAATGATACCTTGTCTATACATCTTACTCTTGTGCCCTCGTTATCACTAAGTCGTCTTTAATGTTATCACAGATTAATGTTAATAATCCCAGGTAAATACTTGGTCAAACAAGAAGTTGATAAGAAATGTTTCCCTTATTGAGCCATACAGTTGTAAATGAGTGTAATTATGCAGATTAGCTATCAGTTAAGTATGTTTGGCAAGTGTTAACAGCAGATATTGGATGAGGGTTTTCATCATGAAGACAGTAAATGAAACAATTGCCTGGGATATCTTGTGAAGGTGTTTATAGTAACCATAGCTGTTTATAGTACTTTTTGTGCTCAGATTTTATACAAATTTAGTATTCTTTCTTCGTTGCAGAAAAACTAGAACTCTTCATAATTATCTGTATGATTTTGTAATATTTGGATGATTAGACAGACAGATGAGGGCAGTTCCCAGTCAGGGATATCCTGTATTGACTCAAATATATCAACATTTGACATCACTTATGTCAACATTACTATTGCCATTAAACAATGCCATTGTCCGTGTATTAACTAGTGGTAGCCACATGCTACCTGTTTGTTCTCAGTGATCCACACGCCTGTTATCTATTTGACACCTAACTGGAGCAGCTAATTAATCCCCCTGTCACCAGCTTGATTGTCTGTAATGACAATTAGCACTTTAGCTTCCACTCACTGTACTTTGTACAACTGGCAGACCAACCAATCACTGGCGACTCTTTTAACAATGAGCTGTCAGATGTTGATTCTCATTGGTTGCTGTATGATGTCTGACTGGTCATTGGTCAGTGTAATCTGACCTCAGTGTAATCTGGTTAGATAATGCTCTCTGGTTATAAGTCTGTCCAGTAATGACAGTTGTTGAGCCAGTTCAGTCAGTAGCTGTTGTAGGATTAACATCAGAGAGATTAACCTTGACCATGATGAAGTCTTGTGCAGTTTGTGATGAAAGGTACATTTAGTGTTTGTGGATTTCAGTCTTAAAGACCATTTGCTTGTGATTTAATGGAATAGTTTTCAGTTCATTTCTTGTGCTTGGATATGTTGTTCTTGGCATAAATTGCAAACAAAAGACACAGATGCACATGCACACACAAACACACACATGCACACACACATGCATTCACATACACACCACTGATCATTACAATAGTGAGTAAATGTTGCTTTAAGCCACATCAGCAATTTTGCAGCTATCATGGATAGATCATCACAATATATGGTAATGCACTTAATGTGTTGTTAAAGCAATATGGGATAATCACAAGTATTATATAGAACAAACTTTAATAACAACTTGTTGCTGACACTGAATGCACTCACGAATAAGTTGATATCCATCTATAAACTTCTAAAATGCCACTCAAAGAAATCACAAGTATTTATAAAACTTACAATTTTGGATGTTTGATGTTGACATTTGTGCCTGAGACTACCTGGTCATTGTGAACTTGTATGTTTGTTTATGAAGGACACCAACACTATGTTGAAGGATCTATTTATTTCTTCAGTTATTTATACCCTTGTATATGGACTGAGGGCCTTTGTGTCATGATACTTTAGTTTCAACAGTGGCTATGTCTGTGTGGAATGTTCCCATGTCATGTTGGTTGTGTAAGATGCCCATCTTCCGAGATGCCTTGTTTGCTCAGGACAAGTATTTAACAAGCCTGACAGCCCAAGGTAGGGACACTGAATCCTTATTGAGAGATTAGGGGATGTTAATAGCTAGGAATGTTTGATGGCCATGTGAACAATCCATCATCGAGATGTTGTGTGATGGTAGAAACTACTGGAGTATCTGGTTGTTCAGTGTCTAGTAGGTAGGCTAGAATTAAATAGACTTAATGCATATTGGTCTTGGAAGCTTTTGACCGCCTCCGTGGTGTAGTGGTTAGAGCGTCCGCCCGGAGAGTGGAAGGTCGCGGGTTTGATCCCCGACCGCGTCATACCAAAAGACATTAAAATATGGTACTTGTTGGTCCCTGCCTGGCGCTCGGCATTAATGGGTACAACAAGGACTGGTCGGCTCGGAGTCAGTATAATGTGTCTGAGTGGGGTATTCATGCTTCACTGCAGCATTGTATCTCAGTGAGCTAGCACTATAAAACCAGCTTCAGTCTGGGCTAGTACAAGCAGCCGCACATACACACGCATGCACGTCGTCATATGAGCGAAATATTCTCAAGCAGGACGTTAAAACCCAATTTCACCTCACCTCACCTTGGAAGCTTTGTTAGTGCATATGGTTGAATTTCATATCATTATATGTTCTGTCCTTCTTATATGTACAGTGTGTTTATCTATTATGATCTCAGATACTGATACTCTCATATTGTAGCAATGTGACTTTGTTATATCCCAGGGCATGTACAGTGTGTCTATCTATTATGATCTCAGATACTGATACTCTCATATTGCAGCAATGTGACTTTGTTATATCCCAGGGCAATGCTCACTGTTATGGTGGTTAACAAAGTACAGTAGAATAACATTTAGTCCCAAATGGAGCCAAGAACAATGCTAGTGCCAAGAACAATACATAAAACAATCCTAGACCAGTACATAGAACAATGCCTAGAACAATGCCTAGAACAGTGCCAAGAACAGTGCCAAGAACAATACATAACACAATCCTAGACCAGTACATAGAACAATGCCTAGAACAATGCCTAGAACAGTGCCAAGAACAGTACATAGAACAATGCCAAGAACAGTGCCAAGAACAAATCCTAGACTACATAGAACATAAAACAAGAACAAT